ATGTACACACCAGTATATCGATGATCTTGATGTATTCCGATACAAGACTTACGATACAACATGTAATAATTAAATAAATACTCAGTATATTGATGGAAAACAAATAAAAGGTGTAAGTATATTGATGGAAAACACTAGTTTATTGTTGGTTGCTCCAATCGTGGTTATTGATGAAACCTCCAAAATGACCATACTATTGAAGAAAGTAGGGATGAGTATGGTGTATGTAAATCCATACCAATGAAGACAAGAATCCAATCCCCAAAATTGACCCCACATAAATTGTTACCATTCTGAACAAGATGTGTAGAGTTTGATGAAAAATCGACTTTGAGCCAAATAAAAATAATTTTAAAGAGTAAACTTGCGGAATACTATTTAAATACTATTAGAACAACAAATTAACCTGTTCTAAAAACATCCGAGATGTATTTATTGCTTTGAAATTTGACCAAGGATGATGATATTAAATTTCTTGATGATGATTAAAATTTCAAACAATAAAATTACTATTCTACTATTGATGGATATCCAAAGATGATGTACATTGAATATTTGTACAACACTTCCAAATAATCATGATATCAATCCCTCCTCATATCATGAAGTGAGGAATCATATTTATATGAAGAATAACCTCAGGATAATTCTCAAGATTTCAAAATCCTAAATACACAAAACAACACTAAAACATGATTAGAGAATCAACCATTGATTATGTACATGTAACTAGTCTAGCTTACATCAACAAATATGGTGTAGGTGATGTGAAATTTAATGAAAAACAGCAAAATCCAAATCTTCATGATTTCAACGAAACAAGACGAAATAATTTATATAGTACATCTACAATAATACTAATAAAAGTTTATTAATGTTTCAAGATGATTGGCTGTGTACTTTTGGCATGGATCATGATTGGTGACCATGAATAACCCGAAGTTGGCAAAAACACAAAATGATAAAAATCTGATAATAAATATATTGTTTATTATGTATTTGAATAGTAGTGACGAAAGACATTTTTCAAGTTGGTGAAGTACATGTTGAGATATGGTATATGTACATGTTGAAAATATACATGAACCTATCATCATGATAACCAATAGGAAAATATTCGGAAGTAATTTTACCTGATGGAATCGACCATGCTGAACAATACTAGATTGAAAGTTTTCCAAATTATCATATAAATCTGGCGGTGATGATGATTTTAGTGAAAATATTGAATTTCACTAAAATATTATTATTATCAGATTTATTTCCACAAATATTACTATTATAATGATGGTAAATAACAATGATGATGGTTGGTAGTTGTTCCGATGATGATGTACCAACTTGAATTTTTCCAAATAATAAAATTATTTCCAAATCATGATGAACAATTAAATTCCAAAAATTACTATTAATACTACTATTTAAATGATGATGAGATGATGTGGTGAAATTCTTGGAGTTAATAGATGTGAAACTACTCCAAGAATCAACAGAGTCGTGATGGACTTACTTGTTGTCAATATTTTTGAAATATTTTTCTAAGTTCTTGTTGATTATAACTAAGGATCGGTATGTCCAAAGATATTTTTCGCATAGCTCAATTATGCGAACAGTTTTTTTTCGCCTATAACATCAGGTATTGAAATGATGAAGATAATCAGCAATGATGAGATGAAGATTTTTTTTTCAACATAATGTATTCAAGTTGGTGATGGTAGTGGTACATGTATGTTTGATAATAAATATGATGTTTATTATCTATTTAAATAGTAGTACTAAAAGACAAGATTCAAGTTGGTGAAGTACATGTTGAGTTATGATATGTACTTTTTCAAAATTCACAATGTACCTAACCCTATCATAACTTGACCAAAATTGATAAGAGAAAGTTCTCATACCTACTATTGACCATTCCGAACAATACTACATTGACAGTTTTCCAACTTGTTCAGTAGATTCAGCAGTGATGATGAATTTAGTGAAAATTTTGACATTTCAACCAAAAACATCAAAATTAATTTCCACAAATACTATTATTATTTGGATGGAAAACAATAATGATGATGGTTGGTGAATGATCCGATGATGGAACACCAACTTGAGATTTTCCATCATGAAAAATAAATTCTAACTTCATGATGATAATCCACCAATAAAAATTTCTACTATTACTACTATTTAGATGATGTTGAGATGATGATGTGAAAGTTTGGTGCTTTCATTATGTAAAACCACTCCTAGAATCATCATGTACATAGAGGACCATTTGTTGAATATTTTTTGGTGTTCAAATTGATTGGTATTAATTTTCTAAAAAAATACAACAATATATAAATATATAGAGCAATGATTATTTCAGCATCTATTCTTCACCAAACATCATTCATCAATTTAATAATATAGTACTTGTGGAAGTAATATTTGTGGAAGTAATATGCAAAGACTTCACCAGTATTACTAAATATAAATTGTAATATTTATTAACGTCTCTTGTATCGTAAAGACCTGAGAGACGAGGTCTACAACCAGTAAGTTTCGGTTCAGCGTTTAAGTGTTATGGGTTGATGCTAAGTGGTTGGTTAGACTGAGCTTGCCTGTGGTAGGCAGAGAGGTATTTCCTGTTAATAGTGAAGCTTGCATTGGGACGGTTGTACCACACTGAGTTCTTGTAGCAATTTTCCAAATAAATAGCTAGTGCTTTGTAGACTTCTAGGGCCACATTCTTAGGTATTCTTTTGCGCTTAGACCAGTTAAGCCAGTCATTACGGGAGCAACGACCATCAAATTCTATCCTAAGTTGAGAGGATTCTGAGATATCAGGAGGGAAACGAATCTTGTTAAGGCTAAATTTCTGGGAGATAGCGTCCCATGTGGCATACAGTTCATCCTTTTCAGGATTGCATTTGGGACAAGTTTGGAATACGTGGGTCCAATCTTCCTTGACATTACATTTGTCACAAATACTGTCGTTACCTAGTAAAATTGAGTGGTGGAGATTAAAGTAGAGGAGTCTTTGCTGATAATAAGACAAGAGAGAGTTTCTCCAGAAGGAGAGAGTGCAATTATGCCAATTATAGTCATTGTCTAATTGGCCCAACTTATTAATAATTTTCTTGGATCGCTGAGTTTCAATGATAGCATTTCTAAGGTTGGAGACAGGCTTGTGATTGGTACGGTTACACAAGACCCATCCATTATCTGTGGATTTGAAGTAATATTTCAGATCTTTCATTGTAGCGGCAGTATTTTTCCACAGTGAATCTGTAGTTTCACCCTTGAGCGCCTTATTTATCATGGCTCTTGCGATTTTTTGGGTGATAGGAGAGGTAGAATTGACAAACCTACAGACAGATGCCATCCTTTCCACGTGACTAATATCAACTGGAGATGAAAGCCCAAGTCCACCCTGGGATTTATCACCATATATAACGGCTTTAGAGAGCCTGTTGTCACATCCAATTCTTTTCTTAATAATTCCACTAATTTTGACTTCCAATTTTTCCAATAGTGAAAGTGGAATAGCATCTACGCTTGAGAGGTATCTAGGTACAGAAAGCACCTTAGATAATATTACGTTCCTCATTGGACCGAGTCTCAAGTGTTTTGGTCTGAAATTTAGTAATCTGGATTCAACTTTTAAGAGAACCTTATCATCGGAGGGAGACCAAGACATGTTATTAATAAAGGAGGCACCCAGATACTCTAACGGATTATTCTTAGAACTATTAATGTTAGTACCATTTAGGTAAACTTTTGCTCGAGATCTGAGGCCAGATGCAGTGATACCAAATACTTTGCACTTGTGAGTGGCGAAGTGCAACCCTAGCTGTAGGGCTATTGAGTTTAATACAGTAAGTATATTGGTTAATTCCGAAGCTGATTCAGAAAGAACCAAGATATCGTCTGCATATAGAAGGAGAACTACTTTTTCTCCGCAAATGGAAGCTCCTTGATATGAATCAATCACTGAAGTAACAGTGTTAAAGTATTGATTGAACACAAGAGGGCTAATAGGATCCCCTTGTGGGACTCCAAACCTTGCTTCAAAAGCTGGTGATGTTGAGCCATTAGCAAGCACTTTGATTCTGTGCCCCGTAACCATTTTCATAACAAGATTGGTTACTGACTCATTAAAACCTATCCTGGGAAGGATAGATTTCAACTTGCTATGGACCACACTTCCATATGCATTCTTAATATCGAGGGTGCACATGAATAATGGTTTCTTTGTTTTTCTATATTCGGAAATGATAGACTTGACCACCACGAGCTGGTCAGTAGTTGAGGCAAGGCGTTTGAAGCCTTTGGGCTGAGTGAATCACTTTTTCCTCGTCCACCTTGTTCATGAGGTGGTAGTTAACATAGGAAGAAAAAATTCTATAAATAATAGGGAGAACAACAATAGGTCTGAAGTCAGAGAGTGATTTGGGATTCGAGTTTTTAGGTAAGGGAAGTAGCAGACCTGCTTTCCAAGAATCAGGGATGGGGTTACCATCAACAAGGATTTTGTTAAAGATTGAACACACTGTAAGGAGAGCATCTTCATTCATAGATTTGAAAACAATCATTGGCACCTTATCACTACCAGGCATTGAGTGTTTCATCCGGCTAACCACATTCGCAAGCAAACCTGGGTTAGCAGGTGGGACCCTAAATTCTGCAAGTTTGGGGTGTCCTGTGATTAATTTCTCATCCAAATTAGAGTCTCCGAGTGCAGTATTGAACATCTTTTCAAAGTGTTCCGTGACTTGAGTTGGATCAGAGATTTTAAACACAGAGCTAGAGTTACGCTCCGATTTAAACGCGTATCTATAAGGAACACTACTTTTAAGGTTATTAACTGCCTTTTTGAAGGCCTCTTTTCTAGCTTTAAGAGCACTGAGGATAACGTTCTGTTGTTTCTTCACCACATCTTTATAGGCTACAGTTGCATTATCTACACCAACAGTAGCCATAAATTCCTTGGCTATCTTATTCGGTCGGTTAGACCATTTAGCCTTTTGGAGAGCCCTCCGAATACGCTCTAAATCTCTATATTCTTTAATATCAGTAATCAAAGGAGATTTCCTAATCGGCGAATGATACTGAGAGCACAGCTCAGTTAAGAAGGATTGAAGATCTTTTCCTGAAAAGGAAGCAATCTTTGAATTGATGCAGTCTAGATTCTCAGTAAACGCTTTGTTATTGAATTTAGACATATAGAAAACCTCCTCAAATTTAGCAGTGCTCTCCAAATCGAATAATTGAAACTCAGCACAGACCATTTTGTGTTGAAGAAACATTTCAACATCCCACAGTTGGCTGGAGAGTAGGGAGCTAACAATATGATCTGGTCTGGTAGAATATGGCTTCTTGCTACCTCTACTAGACTTAAAAGAGGGGCGAGTCGGACATGGAACAAGATCATTCAGGTTAAATACTTGTAACCATTCATTGAAGGCGCTCGCTTTCCTCTTCTCCGAGCCAAACAAGGTGTTGATATTAAGGTCACCCATTATAATAACATGTTCCGAGTGAAACATAGCTTCCAGTAAATACTCTGAGAGCTTAGTTAAGATGTTCTGGAATTCACTACTATACTTTTGCACACCGTACCAATTAATGATGTTGACAACACCATAATCAGTTTCTAATTTTAAACATGAAACTCTGCCTGAAACTAGCACTTCAAAAGAAATTACCTTTCAATGCAGAGTACCTTTGATAATAGTGAGGATTCCGGCTGCCTTATCATTTGGACTACATGGAGTTCCATAAATCTTGCAAGGGGAAAAGAACTTAGCAGCCTTACTAACATTATCCTTGAACACGCTGGAGTCCCAGTGCGATTCTTGGATGTTAATAACATCAAGCCTCTCGTTCTTGATGTGGTGAAGAAGAATGGCCTGTTTGTCGATTGAAAAGGACGAGAGGTTGCAACTGGCCATTCTAAGGTGATGTTTAATTGTCCTCCTCTGAGAGTTCACTTTTATCTACAGCCATACATGGGGAATCGGCTGCCTTAGTAGTGGAAACTCTCAGATTCACGTTTCGAAGAACAATAGCAGACTTAAAAGGACTGCCTAGTTTTTTCTTTTTCCTAATAGAAACAGACTTCTTTCTTGGAGTTTGGAATAAACTGTTTTTCCTATCCAAATCCAAGTCGTCATCTACTGTTTGGGAAACGAACTTACTTATTCCTCCCTCGTTAGAGTTGACTCCATCTATAGACTTTTGAAGGGCCTGAATTTGAGAGCTGATTGAAAATTCGGAGTCTGATCTGTCCTTTTTGAGTTTGTTTAAATCCATTTTAAAACTATTTAATAGAGTTTCGACATCTTTTTTCTTTAAGGAGAGATCACTGTGAAGGGATTTGATTTCACTAGAAAAGTCAGACTTGACTTTCTCTACAGCAGACTGGATGGATTCTTTAAGCTTGTTAATATTTTCATTAATGTCCGTCATTGAGTCATTAAGATGTTTCATACGTGAGCCGTTGTTTTTCAATTCCCCATCCATAAAGGATTTGAAGTCAGAAAGATCCTTGCCAACATTGGTGGTTTTGATATTAACTTGATTCATATCATTTTTAAAATCTTCTTTGTTCACCAATTTCTCCAAATTAGATTTCAAAGCGGAGTTCTCTTCCTCTAAGCTCTTCACGCAGGATTCAAGAGTTTTCACTCTTTTCTCCAACATTTCGAGACTTGAATTGGTGGCAAGGTGCTTCAGGTCAACAGCAGTACCTTTGGTGGCAGTTTCTTGGATAAGCTCTTTCACTCTGGTCATAAGAGAAGGTTTGTTTTTTCTGGGATTGAAGGAAAGATTATTTACAACAATACCACCAACATATAACAATTTAGAAATAGTAGCAGATTTGAGATCCTCCCGATTGACACTAACAGCCTTTACAGCAAGTTCATGGCTGATGAAGTAGACAAATGCCACACTTTTGACATCCGAGGTCAATTGAACACCATAAACACTATTTAAATCAATGTTAAAGTGCTCAAGCACCTGCTGTTGATTACTCCCTTCAGGAAAACCTGCCAGAAGGACCCTAAACCTACGCTTGTAGGAAGGGAAGGAGTGATGTACGAGAGTATCGGCTTTTGACTTCGTCTTCGGAATGCTAGCAGGTTTGCTAGGAGACTTGCTGGCACCTGTTTTGCCAGGAGACTTGGTTGGAGACTTGCTACCAGATGACTTGGTAGGAGTAGCTTGAGTAGATGAAGCGGCATCGGAATTAGAGGCAGAACCATTCTTCCTTGGAGTGGCTGGTTCCGGTTGTTGTTGTAGTTTTTTACGTCTAGACATTTTTTTTTAACCCCCTTCACCAGTATTACTAAATATTTTCATCATATTATTATGAAGATTATTTATTGCTCGGAGGTGGTTTAACAAGTTTATAACATTAAGAAAGCAGCCAAAATTGACAATACTAGTATCAATGAATATCTAACCATCAATGATCCAGAAAGTTGTTCGTAATTAACTGGTGGTAATGAAATTGAAACTTTTTCAATTGATTTTCCTAATGCATCAGTAGTTGAGATACTTCCAATAGCAGCAACAGTTGTAACTGTATCTGGATTCTTGACTTGTCCTAAACTAATAGAAAGTTTGCCAACAACAACTTCAGAAGCAACAGTTCCAGAAATTGTATTGTCATTAACTTGAACATTGGAAATTGCAATTTCAGCACCATTGATATCAGTAACAGAAATAGTAGATGCTAAAATGGATCTTCTCCTCTCATCAACATTAGAAATAACATAACCATCTGGTAAAGAGAGGGTAATCGAACCACCTTTTGGAATTGGATTAGAAATCTTTACAAGAACTGTCATTGCACCAACACCACCGGGCAGTGTATTACCTCCAGAAGAACCAGCTATTGAAGTAAAATCGACAGAAGTAGCAACTGATTTTGCTGAATTAATGTTGGCTGTTACAAATGCAGTATAGCTGGATAGTGGTGTCAAATCATTTGAAATAGTGTACACAGTTTCAGAAATTAAGGATTTAGAAACAACTTGAGCACCAAATGCATTCATAACAGTCAAAGTATAAGTCAATGGGTTTGATGACCTAGTAGTTGAAGCAGTCCATGAGAATGTTGCTCCTGACGAAGTAATATCTGAAACCTTCAAATTAGTTGGTGGATTTACAGTGATTGAGGGAGAAGGACCAGCATAATCAATCAATCCAGTCATTGAAATTGTTCCAGAAGAAATTGAATAAGAGGATTCAAGCCAATTAGGCCAAACATCATGAACTGTACTAAATGATGGAAGACAAATCTTGAAATCGTTTGATGATTTCTTTGTTCTTCCCGTAGAATAATCCATTGCATCACCAATTTGAGAATAGAAATTAGAAATATTATCATTAACACAACTAGTGTTATCATTGTATCTCAATATACGATCAAACTGATTGACCTTCAAATCATGTAATGGATTGACACATTTAATGCCATCTCCACAATCACTATCAGAATTACATGTTTGGATATTTAGTAATTGTTTGCACATACTTCCTTCACAGAAAACATAAAAGTTTGGTAAACTTTCTGGATTTGCAGTACATCTTGAAGTATGGAAATGGATATTGACTTGTCCATCAAATAATGAATTCAAATTGGTATATGTAACTCCACAACCTTTAGCTTCATAATTATCATATGTACAAGTTGATGGTATTTTCATGTTCAAAGAAGTTGGTACAATTTTAAGTAATATTTGCATTGGAGAAATAGTCCAAGAATCAGCTGAGAATGAATTTGAATTTTGTGTGAAAAGTGCCATCCATGCTTTGACATTGTAAGGTTGGATCAATACTCTTCTCAAATCATCACCCCATCCAGAGCTACATGAAAACAACGAGTTCACTACGCTTTCCAGTGTTGCTAAACCTGCATTGATATTTGGTGTGTGAACTGTCATTAAGGGACCTAATTGAAAAACTCCATTACAATCATATTTCATAAGCAGAGAATACTTGCTAGAATCAATATTTGAGAATAATGGGTCAGTTGGAAGCGAAAGTGAAGCAGTCTTCTTTGCATTTTCAATAGCACTTGAACCATCACTTAAAATACCATTCCAAGATGAAATTGTTGAAATGGAATAGGTGCAATCACCACGAGTGGAAATTTTACAATCTGCCCCAATATTACCACTATAGCATTTGCAAACACCTTCTGTAGAACTGATTGTTGCATCTTCCATATTGGATGTGCTTGCTATACAAGCACCACGGCCCCCACATGCAAGGTAGTTAAAAGCTGGGTAACCATTACAAGTAACTGGTTTATCACATAACTCTCCTGTGAATTCAACATCACATAAACACGTACCGTTTACACCAAAAGAAGTGCATTTTCCATGTTGACATTTTGGGCATGTGATTGTATTTTCGCAATTAATACCATTGAAACCTTCATCACAATCACAATAACCATGAGTATCTGTTCTGGAAACTGATTTACATTTTCCATGTCCACTGCATACTCTTGAATCGGTACTATTGTAAGCACCACAAACAACTGGAATAGAACATGACTCACCAACATAACCAGATTCACAACTACAGAAAGTAATAATAGATTCTTCGAGGTAATAGCTAAAACAATCACCATGTCCAGAACAAACAGATGCATTGTTATGTGCAATTCCATAACAAGTGTGAGGTTCATCACAAACTGGTCCAGAAAATCCATAACTGCAGTAGCAAAAGCCTTTACCGTCACTAGCAACCCTGCACCAACCATTTTTACACATTGTGCAGTTATAGGTGAATTCACAATTAGAACCATAGTAAGCTTCATCTTTGTGCCAAATATTACAACTGCATTCACCACTTCCCATACAATCACCATGCCCTGAACAAACTGTGTAGTTAAATGCGGGAACACCATTACAAGTAGAATGGCTATCACACAGTGCTCCATAATATCCATAGTAACATTGGCACCACCCTACACCATCATTATCAACAGCACAATACCCATGTTGACAATTTGGACAACTGGTTTCACAATTAGAGCCACTGTAACTTGCTTTACAAACACAAACTGCTCCTCCATTCACAATAGTACATAAACCATGACCACTGCAAACGTTTCGATCAGTAGATTTGTATCCATTACATATAACTTCTTTTGAACACGAAGCACCAGTAAAACCTTCATTGCAAGAGCAGTAACCAATTTCACCATAATCAAGAAAACAACGACCACGCCCTGAACACACATTTGGAGAGTTTGACAAAATGCCATTACAATAATAAGTTAATGGAGCTGATCTTGCATTGTTGGTAATTTCTTCACTCAATGGTGTTACTGTTGTAATTTTCTTTGGATTATTAGATTCAGCTTGTTGAGATAATTGGGTTAGGTTTGCAATAGTTTCAGAAGGAGTGAAAGATCTGGTATTGGAACATGAAGCACTAATTGAGCTAGATCCAAGACTTATAATCGGTTCAATTTTAGGACCGCAAACCTTAATTGAGGAATATTTCTTTGAACTTGTTTGTCCCCAATGATTAACCATAACTGTTTTCATCAAACTTTCAACCAATTGCTCTGGAGATTTACAAGTTTCGAATTGATTATAAAGACCTGTCATCACAAATACTCTATTCCAAGAATCATATCTTGTATATTCTCGATTGGCAAGGTCCCAACAAGTTAAACCGTTTCCACCACAATCAGAATCTCGTTGACAAGGATACCCTATCAAGTCACAGTCATTTCCTTTACAGTGGAGTGAAAAATATGGAATACGTTTGGCAATTCCAAATCCAACACGGTTAGCATCTGTTTCAGCAGGACATGCAGCAAAAGCAGCTTGAATTTGAATACTGCCTATTCCTAATGCAAATAAACAAGGACTTCCATTAGAAACATCAGCCAAATTACATGAAGATATTGATTTCAAATGGGAGCTAATCTTTATCCAGCTCGATTGTTTTGGACAGGTATTATCAAGTGTAGGATGATCATTCATTAAATTATAAACCAATCCTTCAAGTCCTCCTAGGTATTGCCTTTGGAAATTTCGCTCCGAAATATTTGGACATTTACATTGTTTAACTCGGCTTTTAACTTGTTCAATACCATAATTGACTGAAGAATATACAATCCCAAGGTCTATATTACTCTCAAAGACAGATCCTTTTAATAACCTCAAGTATCCATTGCCTTAATAGGAATTAAATCAACAACCAAAAGACAAGAAAAACTTACATGAGAGTGACGCAATTTCACGCTGATGTGATGATACTAAAAGATGCATCATTATAAGAATAAGAATTGTTGCCGCCGATGAGGTTGAAGCCATTTTTTTTGGGTTACAGCTTCATTACAGCCCTATTTGGCTAATGTGTAAATTGCTGGTGCGAATTTGCATTGTTGGTGTGAAGAGTCAAATCTTATTTTCCTAGCGATGCCATGATGAACACACGAGGAATTTGTGTAAGGTGCCTTATTAATAAAAATTATCAACCTTCTTCAAGAATTAGGAGTCTGTCCAGCATGCCATCCTCTCAAACTTCTATTGATCATCATCACAATCAGCAAAAAAGAGAATTGTTGAATATAGCTTATTTCCGAGATATAAATACGATCGATCATGGTGGTTGAATTAATTTTACATTTAATATATAAAATAGATTATTTTCCATCCGATAGTAAATAATAGTGTATTTATTAAAAAAAATGGAACAACATCACGATGATGATCCCATGAGCGAAGCACTCTCACTCAATGCAATGGAAACGGATTTAAACGAATTGAATCTCGAGGATTTAATTACTCTATTCGAAAAGAGTGAGAATGATCCGAACTTACAACCCGAACTTGTAATTGAATTAATAGCAGTAATTGGTGATAGATATGAATCCGAAAATAATAAACAGAAGGAATTTGAATGGAGACTTAAAGGAGCTGAGAAAGGATGTCCTGAATTTCAATCAATTGTTGGAAGGATGTATGATGATGGTAATGGAGTGGAAGAGAATGTGGAAAAAGCTTTTTATTGGCTCAAAAAAGCTGCCGAAGGTGAAGAATTGGATTCTCAGATACTTCTTGGGTGGTTTTATGAAAGTGGAAGAGGAGTTGAAGAAAATCAAGAGATGGCATTATATTGGTATAAAAAAGCAGCTGATAATGGATCTGTGGATGCAATTTATAGATGTGGAAATGTTTATTACATGGGTGATGATTATTCAAATGCATTGAGTTGGTTTTGGAAAGGAAATGCATTAGGTGATGCTCAATCAATGGAAAAAATTGGATTAATGTATAGACATGGCTTTGGATTAAAACGAGATTTGAAGAAAGCATTCGAATATTTTGAAAATTCTGCTGACTTGGGATGTATTGATGGAATTTTCAGAGTTGGTTATGCTTTCCACAGTGGTGAGGGTGTTAAATTGGATTATTCAGAGGCAATGGAATATTATTTGGATGCTGCAGAGATGGGAGATGCCTTGGCAAAAAATAATATTGCAGACATGTATTTGAAAGGTCAAGGAGTTCAACAAAATTTCCAAACAGCTCTCAAGTGGATCAAAGAAGCGATGGAACAAGGTAATTTCGATAGTATTGCAACCTATGGAGAAATGCTTTGTAATGGAAATGGTGTGGAACAAGATTACAATAAGGCATTTGACCATTTTAAAAGATCATCAGATAGTGGATATTGTGAATTTGCACATTTTCTGCTTGGAAGGATGTATGAGAATGGATGGGGTTGTGAAAAGGATATCAATAAGGCTTACGTATTATATTTGAGAGGTGCCAAAGAAGGAGATGCTGATGCCATCACTAGATTGGAAACTCCATTCAAGAAAGCGTTATTTACGAAATCGTCCCCTCTATTTGATACAGTGATATTAACGGTGGATGAAGATAGGTCTAAAATAATTTAAGTATTGGAGAGCGAGAAAAAGTGAGAAAAAGAAACAACAATCATTCCAAGTAACATTGCTGATAACAACACATGAAAGATATAGAAATTAGATAAAAAGTTACCACATTCAATTTTGTATTGGAATAAGATTTTGTTGAGCTTGTTGTCTTCTTTGAGCCAAAAGTCTTCTAATCAATTCAATGTTTGGAGTTGGTTTGGCGATAGATGGAGCTTGTGGATTGGTTGCGATATTGATATCAATGTTTTGAATATTCATTGCTCCATTTGCTGATTGTGGTCTTTGAGCTACTGAAGCTGTTGGAGTGTTAACAATAGTTGGTTGTGGAGTAATTTGTGGCTTGATCACAACTGGTGAAGTGGTCATTGCGACAATTGGTTGGGCCATTGGTTGGATGATAGGTTGGAATTGAGTAACTGATTGAGGAGCAAGTCTATTGATTCTTTGTTTATACCATCTTGAATAAGGCAATCCAACTGGTTGAGGTGTATATTTTCCAGAATTGTTTGACTTGATAGGAATCCTTTTAATTACCCTCTTTCCAGATTTCTTGTTTGATTTCTTTCCTGATTTCTTTGATTTCTTTCCAGATTTCTTTCCAGATTTCTTTGATTTCTTTTCAGATTTCTTTTCAGATTTCTTTCCATACTTCTTACTATTTCCTGACTTCTTTGATTTCTTTTCTGATTTCTTTGATTTCTTTCCAGATTTCTTTTTGATTTCTTTCCTGACTTCTTTGATTTCTTTCCATACTTCTTCTTTGGCTTTGATTTCTTTCCATACTTCTTATTCTTTCTAGATTTCTTTCCATGCTTCTTTCCATACTTCTTAGACTTTGATTTCTTTCCTGACTTCTTTGATTTCTTTCCAGATTTCTTTGATTTCTTTCCAAACTTGTTTCCAGATTTCTTTTTTCCATGCTTCTTTCCAGATTTCTTTGATTTCTTTAATTTCTTTTCAGATGTCTTTCCATATTTCTTTAATTTCTTTCCATACTTCTTAGCAGATTTCTTCCCATACTTCTTTCCTGATTTCTTTGAAGCACTTTGTTTTGGAGCAATTTCTAAATCTTCCACAGGTTGTTTCTTGGCAACATGTTTCTTTCCAGATTTCTTTGAATTATTTGACTTGGCTGAAACTTGTTCAGATTCTTCTTCCTCTTCTACTTGAATTTCTGGAGTATTGACTGATTGCTTCTTGATTGACATTGTTTCTTCACTAAATTGCATTCTTGGAGTTTCTTCATCAGTTTCAGTCTTGTTTGATTTCTTTACTAGAGTTTCTTCATCATATTCAATCTTCTTTGATTTCTTTTGAACTGGAGCTTCTTCTTCATCAGATTCAATCTTCTTTGACTTGTTGGATTTATTTTGAACTGGAGCTTCTTCATCGGATTCAGTCTTCTTTGATCTCTTTCTTTGAGGAATAGAAGAAACTGGATTTTCTTCTTCATCGTATTCAGTCTTCTTTGATTTCTTTCTTGGAATTACTTCTTCATCAGATTCAATCTTCTTTGATTTCTTTTGAACTGGAACTTCTTCATCATCATATTCAATCTTCTTTGATTTCTTTCTTGTAGTTTCTTCATCATAATCAATTTTCTTTGATTTCTTTACTGGAACTTCTTCATCATATTCAATCTTAGATTTCTTTTGAACTGGAGCTTCTTCATCATAAGATTTAATCTTAGATTTCTTTACTGGATTTTCTTCCTCATCATACTCAATTTTCTTTGACTTCTTTACTGGAACTTCTTCATCATCATATTCAATCTTCTTAGATTTCTTTCTTGTAGTTTCTTCATCATAATCAATTTTCTTTGATTTCTTTACTGGAGTTTCTTCATCATATTCAATCTTCTTTGATTTCTTTTGAACTGGAACTTCTTCATCAGATTCAATTTTCTTTGACTTCTTTACTGGAACTTCTTCATCATATTCAATCTTAGATTTCTTTTGAACTGGAGCTTCTTCATCATAAGATTTAATCTTAGATTTCTTTACTGGATTTTCTTCCTCATAATCAATGTTCTTTGACTTCTTTACTGGAACTTCTTCATCATATTCAATCTTAGATTTCTTTTGAACTGGAACTTCTTCGTCATCAGAGTCAATCTTATTTGATTTCTTTTGAACTAGAGCTTCTTCATCTGTAGGAGTATCAAATTGTTTAACTTGCAAGGCATGGTTGCTAAAAACTACAGGAGTTTCTTCAATTTCTAAAGTTCTTTGAGGAATAGAAGCAACTTGTGCAACGTATTCGTCACCACTTACAACTGGAGCACTTTCAACTGGGATGTATTGTGGTTGAGAGGAGCTTTCATCAGTTCCGTAAGAAAAATCATCCGCATCACTTTCGGTGGTTTTCTTTGGCTTTGAATCTTTGACCTTCTTGTTATCTTTCTTAGTACCCTTCTTGGCATCCTTCTTAGCATCTTTCTTGGTATCTTTCTTGTTATCTTTCTTGTTATCTTTCTTAATATTCTTCTTAGTATCCTTTTGAGTAGTTGGCTTTTTTGAATCTCCCTTAGTATCTTTCTTACTAGTTGAAGATTTGTTATTTTGCTTACGAACTGAAGGAGAGTTATTCTTTTTAGTTGGAGCTTTTTCCTTTCCTTTGCCTGCAGAGAGGCTCTTTACTGACACAGATGATTTAGAACCATTGGTACTCTTTTCTGTAGTAGACTTAATAGCACTTCTATATGATTTAACTGGAGCACTAATACGTTCGTTCTTATTTGAAACTGAGACTGATCTGACTGGTGAGATACCCCTGGAGGATGCACTACCAAAAGTTGCCATTACAGGAGAGGAACCAGCAGATGTTGAGCCAGAAGATCCACCATGGCCATGTTTATGGTGATGATGGTGGTGATGATGCTTACCATCCTTTCCATGACCATGCTTGTGGTGGTGGTGATGATGGTGATGATGCTTACCATGCTTGTGATGGTGATGCTTACCATCCTTTCCATCATGATGTTTTCCATGCTTGTGGTGGTGATGATGGTGATGCTTACCATGCTTGTGGTGGTGGTGAACTGCCATCTTTCCAATAGTTAATGTCCTTGTAGCAACAAATTTGTTGGCAGCAGCTGGTTTAGAAGCAGATCTAGTAACAGGTCTTGAAACTGGTTGTGAAGCTGGTCTATAAACTGATGTAGGTCTTGAAACATGTTGTGGAGCTCTATAAACTGGAGTTGGAGCTCTATATACTGGTTGTGGAGCTCTGTACACTGGTTGTGGAGCTCTATAAACTGGTTGCGGAGCTCTATACACTGGTGTGTAAACTGGTGTAGGTGCTCTGTAAACTGGAGCAGCAGCTGGTGCTGATCTACCACCACCACCTCCTCCTCCTCCTCCACCTCCACCACCACCTCTACGAGCATTTGCATAAACGCTCAAGAATGCAATCATGCACATCAACACCAAACCAACAATGAGGGAAGAGTTACTTCTAGCCTTAATCATTGTTAATTGTTCTTAATTTTTTTAAAGATGATTTGCTTAATATTGAAGCATACCTACTGGTAATTTCCTCATCGTATTACCTAATTAGAGCACTGTAGTGGGTGATATATCGTACGATTATTGTACAATGTAAACCCTTGAATTGTTTGATTCGCTGCTGTTGCAACCCAACATTTCATTCCTATCATATTTTGTTTGTGTTTGATCTTTGTTTGCGTTTGACCATCCTTGGATTGTATTATATCATTCAGTGGTACATTTCCTTAAACGACCAATGATCCATTCATAAAGTCATAACAATAATGAAGCATCGAGACCTGTTTTACACTCTTCATCAGTACATTGAAAATATTAATATGATTGGTTGAGTTCTTTCCTTTTCAATTCTTTCATTCACAATTAGTTATCATTTCAATGCCTTTTTAAATTTAATATATTTCAATTCGGAAAGGTTGAAGATTCCGTGTCCTCCACAAGCAACAAACATTTGGCCAAGTAATAACAAAGCACTGTTGTGATGAAGATTTTTATTATTTTGTTTTGAAAAAATGGCGCTGAACTGTTTTTCATCATGTTGTGTACCCCGTGGTAACTAGAAGGAAAGTTTGGACATTGTCCAAATTATCATGTTATCATCTACAACGTAAATAATTTTCTTTGAAAATAATTATTTAGTGTACACCCAGCTTGAAGACCATGTCAGATATAGATGCACATTATATTTTGGATGTGTATGCAAGAGCTGTTTATCCATTGTTGTACATGCAATCAATCAATGCCATTAGTTTAATTCCATTCTCCGTTATCATAATGGTTTATCATAGTAATCAGTATTGGAATAGCAACTTGTTCCATAGTTTAATATTTGTATCCGTTTGGAAGAGTCAATTCGGAAACTTTGGATACTCAACAACATGAAAGAATCGCTATTTCAATAATTGTAAAACAACCACATTTATTAGTAGTTGGAGATATGTTCCTTTATGAAAAGTGATCAATTAGTATCTATGAGTTGAGATAGTGAGTGTGGTTTGACTGAAACAAGTTTGCACACCAATTTCAGTTATTGTACATCATGTTAAAAACCATGTCGCGTTCTTAGTGACCATTTTTGCCAGGTTCACACATACCTAAACCGATACTCCACAATGGTCAAAGGAATTCCTTAACACCTATCAAAAAAACAACCTAAAGTCAACTACCAACATGATAACAAACCAGGAACATGTTTATCCATTTAACAACAATACAGCTTTGGGCATGTATTCTTGGATAAAAGCATGTGAGTGCATGAACCTTCTCCAAGAGCCAGAATTATCCACATGTACAAGTAATTCAAGTAGTTCAAGTTCTGTAATAATAGAAACACAAATAACAACAAGAATTACTCTCGATGAAAATTACATTGACAAATTAATTGACCTCGAATTGAGGAATGTACCATCTACATTGGGCTTGGTGTGGAGCAAATTGTCTTGCCATTCAAATCCAAACGAATTTCTATTCCAAACCAATCCTTCATCTCAAACCTCTAATGAATGCTCCCCTAGTGTCTGTAACAACATCATAATATCTAATAATCAACAAGAAGAAATAGATCTCAATATGAAACCAGTTTCGCGTATTGAAAACGCTCCATTTTGCGTCCCTTTTCATCAACCAGAAAGCTCATTATTTAAGAATAAGATTTCAAAGAAAAGGAAACAAAAAAAGGATAAACCAAACTATCGAGTGAGATTTTCATACAACAAGTTTGAAGAAATTGAATTTAGAAAATCAAATCCTAAAGGAAAATTTATTATTTTCAAATAAATATTCTAAGTTTATTTGAAATAATAACCATTAGGACTATTTCTATTGAGTCGTTCCATTGGGAGATTGAACGTTCGGCCGTAAACAAATTTCTACTGTTTTCCAAAACGATCATAGGAAAATTATCTGGGAAAAATTTAATAGATTACACTAAGGCGTAAAGGAGCTTTTCAAAAACGTAAAAAAATACCAAAAGAAACAAGCACCTGTTTGAAATGTTTTGTCCAGCATCTAGGAAGAAGACAATCATTTCAAGAAGAAAAGCAGTTGCGCTGCTTCTTCTTTCTCTGGTAATATTAGCGACATGTCTCTTGGGAGGGAATGTGGTACACTCATCACCAACAACAACTAAATGTACAAATACTGAGAGTGAGGGATGCGGATTAAGGGGATATATTAAGGACAAACAAAAGGAAGAAGATATTCTTTCATGCTCGATTGCTAAAATTTCAAAGGGTATAGAATTTCTCAAGCAAGCAAATGATACAAAGCTATTGGAGCAAATTGCTCAAAGAGAACATCAATTACGAGTGAAGGAGTCTGCTCGGTCGATGCTCTCATCAGAAATTAGTATTCTCTCTGCTCAATGTTCAACATATTTAGGAGAAAATTGTGATATTCCTGTAGAATGCTATGGTGTTCCAGCCAATTCACCAACCGTTTGCTCTGGACATGGAACTTGCATTTCATCCAATAATTGTCTATGTTTCACATCGTTTAGTGGCTCAAGTTGTTCAAACATGTCAACAATTAATGATCCAATTTTGGGAAGAACCTTTGCTGATGGAACAACAGCAACATCATGTTATGGATACAGATATCCAACTCTGCCATATGCTTACAATGGAGAAGGAAGTGGATTATATCAAATCAATGTTGGACCAACAATTTACACTGCTTATTGTGATATGGAAAGTATGGGAGGTGGTTGGACTCTTATTATGAAAACCAGTACTTCTTCTCCTTTCGTGTATGACCATGCAATGTGGACTGCAAATGATTTATCCTTTTTAGGAACACAAAAATTACCATTCACAAATATTACAGCCAATGAAGATTACATCTCACCTCTCTTTTATAAATTAGCAGGAAGAGAATCTAGACTTGCTATGAATTCATTAGAAAATTACAATTCTTGGAGTCATTCGTACGATACTGCCAGAAATTTGATTGCCAACAATGGAATGATGAAATCCTATGCCACCAACATGTCTACTTCAACATGTGAACCTCAAACAAATTGTGGTACTCAACCAATTAATAAGAAGCCACTTGGTATATGGAGATCTCTTCCTTACGATTACAAGGCAGCCTATTGGTACAGATTTGGTTATATCAATGCTCTAGGTGAAGATTCCTTTGGATCCAAGATCAGAGTTGGTTTTTCTTCTGATGGTGATACTTCTGATACTGTAGATGGTAGGATTGGTATAGGTATTGACTGTCTGACAATGTGTGGTTCCTATGATGGAAAACCTCATGGTAAGGGTAGTGGTTTTTATTACTACCGTTATTACAACCCACTCCCAATGCCTATTAATGGTGTCATGATGGGATGGTTGTGGATTAGATAAGTAAATTAATTGTAAAATAGTAAACTCATTGTAATAGACCATCAGTTTGCTAATAGTCTTGATTGTTTCTGTTGTGCAATCAAATTGAAACTGCAACTCGTGATCCTTCCTTTGCATGTTCTGGAGCTTTTGATCATTCTGGAGGTTTAATTGGTGATCGTTTGATTTAGATATAGTCAAAGACCTGTTGAGATTCCACTCACAGAAACACAAGCTCAACAAATATCCTATCAATTTACTAAATCATCCAACAATGACAAAGAGAAGTTTGACTCTTTTACCAGTTGTTCCAATGTATGACAATGACGGTTTCGTCTCTGCTATTCTATTCTTTACTCATTTCCAAAAGTGTAGACCTCTTGGTCAATAATGGGAAGAACTCTCTTTTGTAAAAACTTTTGTTCAGACAAATGCTGAAAAACTAAAGTTACACTTTCCATCTTCTCAATCATGGAAATCACCACTCAACAAGTGATGTTAATCCCTTAATAAAAGAATTCAATCTTGACACTAAGTTTCGAATTCTTTAATAACATTGAAACTTTAAATAATGCAGCTTTAAAAATTACAAAAAAAAATCTGGTAATGTTTTATTACGTTTACAATACGAATCTATTCAGATTCCTGCTTCAAAGACGTGAAGTCAATGATCTCCAATTGTAAACAGTTCGCAGGAAGCAGCGCTTCTTTCACAGATACATCATTATTTAAAATGAAGGGGACTTTTGTAGAGACATTGGAGTTATCGCCTAGCCTTCAAGCTTGATTTGGAACGAAACTAAACCTTTTGATTATCCATAAATAGGAATACACTTAATAAAGATGTTATAAGAGTTAACCAGGAAGTCTTATGCTAATAATTAATTCTTCACCAATATCAACGAACCAATGTGTTTTCGTTTTACAATACATTCAAATTCTTTTCATAATTAAATCATTACTCTCCACTTCTCCTATTACCTTAGCTATTTTATTTTTGCCCATATTGATCAACCCAAATCTACTTTAAACCTTTGAACCGTAAGGTAGTTGTACTATATTACCCTCCATGCTAATATGAGTACGCGATTTGCTCTGACTTCTAAACCCGATGCTCAAGTTTTGGTAGTTGATCAACCTCTGTGCTGCTAGCACCTGGCCTCTAGCCAAAGACGCTAACTGTTTCCCTCAAACAGTTGTTGTATTTTTTTAAAGACGAATTACAAAAAAAAATGATTAACAAACTTCCACCCGAAAACCTTCATCACATTTTCAGTTACTTGGATTATTTTCGTGATATTTTCCGACTTCGAAAATTAGCAGTGTTGGATTTTACAAATGTTCGTGGATGGGAAATTGATGATTTTAATGAGGTGATGGATTTGGAGTATTCGGATGATGGATTATCGGAATACAACTCTTGGGAACCACTGTGTATTACTTGTAAATCTTTTTATGAAGCCTTTGTGTCGTTTCAACCGATGGAAATTAAACTACAAATGATTAATGGAGACAAGAAGAATTGGGCAAGATATCCAATTGATAGATCGTATTTTGAATCTCTTACATTGATTAGGAGTGTCCAAAACCTGTATACGGAGGAGTGTTTGCAAGATAATAATTATGTACACAAAGTATTGGAAAGAATCAAGACAAGATATGAAAATGTTTTTGATAGAGTGGTGTATGTGAGCTGTTTTGCTCCATTTGGAAAGAATTATTGGACTAAGAGAGGAGGAAATATTCCATTAAAAAAGATATTTAAAAATGTGAAATATTTAGTTTCGAATTATCCATTAGTTCAAAGCACCATCTCATGTATTTATGAACAAAATTTATTCATGGAATCTGGAGGACTTGCTCCAAGAAGTATTGGTGCTAATTTTCCTACAGAAATGGAAGAAATTGAATACTTGAAAAAAGCTTCAAAATTAATGGGAAAGAGACCATTTCATGTAGAAATAATCCTTGCCTATTCAATATATTTTCAGAGAATTGATACTTGTAAATTCATCATTAACAATATTGATATTGATATTGGATATTTTGAACATTATTGGAATATAGTATTATCTATATTTTCCGGAGGACTGAGTAACAACATTTTGGATATTTTATGTCTAATTTATTTGAAATATCCAGAATTTAAAATTTTTATTGTTAAGGGGATAGTGTTGGAACAATTGAAAATTCTTGACAAATATCCATTTATTAAATTTGATGTAAAAAGATGTATACTATTTCCCACTGATGAAATAAGTGAATCTGAACTCGTCAACAGATTTAGCAAAATTGGAAAGTATTGCTTTTCGTATTTGGGTTTAACCTCTTGTTTTGACACGTTGGATAACCCTGATGTATTTGGTGTGACACCTTTAATGCAAAAGAACCAAGATAAACCAATGACTTTACAACAAATAATGATGAAGGATATTTATGGAAACAACTTTTTACACTACTTTTTTACAAATAATAGAAACAGCTCTAATTATTTTACTTATTCTGACACTCAATTTTCCAAAAACATTCCCAATGATATTTTGTATAAATTGGAACAAGAAGAAAATAATTTTGGATTAACTCCAGTAGAAATAGCTGTTGCCAATGAATGGAATCATTTCAAATTCCAGCCACTCACTAAAATATTTCATTTTAAATCTATAGAGAAATTAATTAATGGTATTCGATCATTTAAATTATTGGATGGATTTGAAGTTGATTTGGCTATTCTTTATGCAGTAGCCGGAGTAATTAATCCAACAATTGATTATTCAATTTACCAAGACATTGATTACAGAGATCGAAATGGAAAGCATTTAATTCATTATTTTACAAAGTTTGATTATTTGGACATACAAAATGTACTTCCAAATTTATCAGCTGAAGAAATATTACTGACACCAGATCATAATGGTACCTTTCTTCTTCACTCCTGCACTAATTTATACAGAGATTTATTATCCTCTATTGCTGAATGGAACGAATCTCCTACGATCAACATTTCTGGTTACTTTGATAATTTAGGTTTCAACAGAATAATGTATTTCTTACTAAAATCAAAAGACGAAAGACATTTAAAATCAGATGCTAACGTAATTGGATTTGATTACTCAACCGAAAATCATCCCAAGCTTATTCACATTACTATTCTTAATAAGGATAATTCAATTCATTTCAAATTAGAAAGTTCAAATATTCCAAGAATAACAGGAGGATTTCAATGGTATGGTGGAGAGGAGGGAGACGACATTTCACATTTTCTCATTCGATTATGCACTCAACAAATCTTGAGCAAAACACATTATGCTCTAGAGGACGTTATGAGCATTTTAATTGCAAGAGGATTGAAATTTGACATTGTGAAAAATTCCAGAGGAAAGACAGCACTCGACCTACTCAATGAATTCAAAGAAAACTATCCAAATATTCACACCCCTCTTTACAAGCAAGTAACAAGAGGAACCACGAAGAAATCACTAGCACTCGAAGAGTTTGTGATCAAACCAAGCAAATGTTCAGTAGAAGAAATTATCTCTCAATCGAATTCCTTGTTGGTGGTCAAGAAGAGTTTCATTGTTGAACGAAATGAAGTTACACTCCATAGGAATTTGTTCTTTGCACAAAATAGAAAGAGGGATGTTGTTGATACACTGTAGTTGTTCGAAACTAAACGGTTTCTAATTAACTAACGTATTCAAGGAATGGAACACAAGTTTATTGTAGTTGTGTTACAATTAGAATCCAATTAACACAGTGATCAATAATTTTACTGTAGAGGTTCCATGTTTTTTACAACGAACTTTGTAACCATGTTCAACACAAGTGGTGACCTCTTCCGATTCCATACTAGATAACATCACATTTCGCATTCATACAGACCTTTGAGAAGCTCTACACAACAATGAGATAATGTAACTTACCTTTCTTCCACTTTCTACCAACCTTTCCAATAACCGTAATTCATTACAATATCACCCAAACACCATCTACAGTACAAAAAAATCATCTATGAAAGAGATTTGAAAAATCTACTGTCCTTTTCTGTGTAATCAAAAACAGTCCTGTCATCAGCCAAATGCCACAGATGGAATTTTTTCTGTTGCCGTTCATTTTTGAGTTGCGTGATTTTTTCCCGCCATTTATCATCCAGTTGAACTCTTGCCAACTTTTCAACTTCTTTGACCTTCATTGGCTCATAAAAACGCGGCGAGTTGAAGAGAAATTTTTGCGTTAAAAAAAAACAAACAACACAACTACTTCATACAACAAGATGGACATGATTAACAACTCCACTCCAAAGGTTGAATCCTCTATGGGTTTGATCGTTTTGATTTTGAACATTTTCTTCCCAGGTTGGGGTACCGTCATTGCCGGTGTTTTGACTCAAGAAGCTGAAAAGAAGACTCCAGCTATTATTGTTGGTATTCTCCAATTCATCTTGGCCTATTTCTTGATCGGTTGGTTCTGGTCAATCTGGTGGGGTTTCAAGATCTATCAAGCTTCTCAATAATTTGATGATGCTAGTTTAGAATAAATACTTTTTTAAATAATTTGTTGGAATTGTGTTATTAGATTTAGCTGTTTGTGATATTTTCTTCACACTCTCACGACATTTGACAGTTTTTTCCCACCAAAAAATTTGTTTAATAGATAATGATCTAGCTGCCATGAAAATTGTTCCAGATCATCATCTCTACAACTCAACCTCTTGATCAATTACGAGTCCACTTTCAACATTTTTCACTTCATTACAACTCCAAACCATGATAACATAAACTTGTAACATCAATCTCCTCAATTTTGCTTCCAAGGTAACCTTTTAAAACTTTAAAAAAAAGCCTCCAAATCATTTGATCATCACAATTTAAAAAGAAAAAGAAAAAATGGGCAACGTAACACCAATTATTGGCGGTTCATGGAGAGAAGGAAGCGGTAGAATTTGGCACTCGACACAAAATTACAATACCTTTCAGTGGGTGCAAGAGGGAACAGGTGAATTGCGACTGGTACATTGATATCAACTAAATCTGCTCCGATGGGTCCGAGTGATTGGGTGATTCATATTACATTTGATGGAAATTTACATTGGAGATTAACTTCTAGTCCTGATGGAAATACTCTGTATGGAATGGGTGATAACTTTTATAGAGTTTCATCGAATTCAAATTTTGCTCAACCAAGTGTTTATAATGTGTATGGATTGAGTTCAGGAATGATGGCCTCAGGAATGATGAATCAACAAACTCTCAATACTACTTATACTGAAAATTCTGGAAAAGCTTGGTCAATCACTTCTTGTCCACATGCTGGATATTTCATTATGAGAAATCAACAAGATGGAAGAAATGCAGAGTTTTATGTTGCCAAAGATGTCTCTTCAAATAAGCATACCATTTATGTTCAATTTCAAGGAAATCCATATCCTGTGAAATCTGAAACATTTGACATGAAAAATATTCCACTTTCGAATGGTGATGTTTTTAGATGTCTTATGACTCCTCCATCAATACAACCAACTCTGAATACTGGATATGGTATTTCTATTGGAAATTCTGGTATTAATGTTTCATTCACAACTCCAAGTACAATTATTCCACCAACCACAACCTCTGTCTATAATCCTCCTCCAATGAATTATCCTCCACCACAACCTTTTGGTCAACCACAGCCATTTGGACAACCTCAACCTTTTGGTCAACCACAACCATTCTCTCAACCACAGCCATTTGTTCAACCTCAAGTTTATGTCCAACCAATGTCAATAACATCAACTAGCTCACTTGCTAATACAATTATTAATGCTTGCCAAGGCAAGAGTTTTGATAGTGACAAGATGAAGATTGTTGTAACATATTCCACATCCCAAGTTTCTCCAATGGCCGGTAGTGATCTCATCCGAGTTATTTCATTGTTTGGATTCGAATCTGACAAGGTAAAAGCCGTGCAACAATTGAAGAAAACCAATAATATTGCAACAATGGATTGTTCCACTGCATGTTCACTTGTAAGATCATTTGCACACGATAGTAATAAGGACCATGTTCTCCGTGACTTGTGTCCATACATTTGGGATCGTAGACAAAATTGTGAATCCCTTGTATCTTGTTTATCCTTTTCATCTAGCCAAAATCGTCTCAGAGATTTCATTTTGAAAAATTAATAAACGAATTAAGGAAACATCACAACTTCTTTTCTAATAAGCAAGTTATCATGGAGTTTGCAAGATGTGTGAAATATAATTTTAAAATAATTTATTCTTCAGCTTCAACTGGAGCAGATGAATCAGCAGCAACAGTTTCATCATCTTCCTTCAATAATCCACTTTGCAAATCATCTTCCAAATCAGCAAGAACCTTCTTGACTTGATTCTTTCTCTTCTTCTTTTCAGTCTTGGCAGAAGACTTGATCTTTTCTTGTCTCAATTGAGTTCTCAAACTATCAATTTCATTTTCAAGTTGTTTGATTTGATCACGATTCATGGTATCTTCCAATTCAAGTCTCTTCTTTTCAGATTCAACACGTCTATACTTGGTTTCACTTTCTTGTAAATTCAAGTTGGACAAACGAGATTCACGTTCAGCTTTGGAAGCTCTCTTTTCAAATTCTTGCTTGGATGAAATTTCTTCTTGCAAATCACGTTTCAAATCGGCAAGTTTTTGAGCAGTCTTCTTTTCTTGCTTGACCAAGTCAACCTTGTCCTTTCTCAATTCTTGGATAAGTTGATTGAGATTGGCCATTTCCATTTCGTAATGTTGCTTGGCAGAAAGACTTCCAAGATCCAACTTTTTACGTTCACTAACCAAATCGAGTTTAACTTGATCCAAATCCTTACGAGTTTGTAAGAGAACCTTATCCAAAGTGTTATATCTTTCCTTTTCATCAGAAAGTTCAGATTGCAACTTGCTAATGGTTAATTGGTATTCAGATCTCATCTTGATCAATTCATCTCTCAAATCTTCAGTTTCTTCAGCAATACTTCTCAATTCATCAATTTCTCTTTCGGCATGTTCCTTTTGAGACTTGAACTTATTCTTGAGCTTTTCTTCAGTTTCGAGTCTGGCCTTGAGTAACAAGTTTTCTTGTTCAATTGTGATATTCTTGTTATCCAAATTGTGCTTCAAGAGACTCAATTGTTCAATTTGTGATTTGAGGTTGGATGCTTCAATTTCGTACTTTCTCTTCAAACCTTCAACTAATTGAGAATCGACAGCATCAGTTGGTTGAGTTTCCTTCTTGGCATTCTTCAAATCCTTCTTGAGCTTTAAGTTTTCTTGCTTCAACTTGAGAATTTGATCGTTGAGTTCACGACCAAAACCTTCACTTTGTTGAGTGAGAGAGGTCATTTGTTGCTTCAAGAGTCTATTGTCATTTTCAACTTCTTCTCTGGATCTGGAGGCATTTTGACGAATTCTTTCAATTTCTTCTTCGAGTTGTTGAGCATTTCTTTGTTCGTCAGAAGTCTTTCTTTCAGCATCTTGGAGCTTCAAGTTCAATTCATTGATTTCAGAAGTCAACTTGGAAATTTCATCTTCCAAATCATCTCTTTCAGCAGAAGCATCCTTAGATTTGAGTTGAACGTCCTTGAGTTCATTTCTGATTTGAGCAGCCTTTCTGACTTCTTCATCAACTTGACGTTTAGCCAATTCGTGTTCTTGTTGAACAGCAGTCAACTTGCTCTTCAAATGAGAGATTTCTTCATTAGCTTCCTTGAGAGCTGAGTCCTTCTTCTTGGCATCACCTTCAACTTCACTCTTGGATGATTGTTCAGACTTGACTGAATTTTCCAATTCACCAATACGTTGTTGGAGCTTTTCAATTTCCTTAGCCAATGAAGTAGCCTTCTTTTGAGCTTGAGACTTTTCGGAAGCTTCATTTTCCTTCTCCTTTTCGAGTTGAGTTAATCTTTCCTTCAATCTGTTCAATTCAAAGTTGAGTTCATCCTTATCCTTTGACAAGGAGACCTTTTCCAACTTGGAATTTTCAATGTCGTTGGCCAACTTTTGTTGTTCGCCCTTCAACTTTAAGGTGGATGACTTTTCATTTTCGAGTTCAGTTCTGGCCTTAGTCAATTGATCATTCAATGAGCTCTTGTCCTTTTCCAAATCTTCAACATCGCTTTCGAGCTTTTCAGCACGTCTCTTTTCAGTGTTCAATTCATTGGTGACTTGTTCAAGCTTTGATGAAGTCATGCCCAACTTTTCATTGGTGGATTGCAAGTCCAATTCAATACGATTCTTGTCTTGAGTGAGTTGTCTGATGGTATTCTCGAGTTCTTGAACCTTCTTTTGGAGTTGTTCCTTTTCATCACTGGCTTGGTTGAGTCCAGAATCTAACTTTTGAGCCTTTTGCAAAACGTCATTCTTTTCTTGATTGGTGGCATCAATAGTCTTTTGGAGCTTCTTGATTTCCTTTTCAAGATTCTTGGCATTTTCATTGAGATCCTTCTTTTCTTGAGTCAACTTGGATTGAACTTGTTCAGCTTCAACACGTTCTTGGTCAGTCTTTTGCTTCAATCTGAGCAATTCAGTAACCTTGAGGTTGAGTTCATTTTCAAATCTTTGCTTTTGTTCTTGCAAGTTGTTTTCAAGTTCTCTAATCTTGGCATCACGAGATCTGAGTTCAACTTCTTCCAAGGTAGCAATCTTGGATGTAAGTTGAGAGATTTGAGACTTTTGAGTGGCAACAGTTTCTTCCAAACCTTGAATTTCTTCAGTCAATGATTGAATTCTCAAAGTGGCAGATTCCAAATCACCAGACAAGCTCTTACCCTTAGTTTCAGAACTCTTCAAGTTTTGTTGTTCATTATCCAACTTGTATTGCAAGTCACGAGCAGATTGTTGAGCACTTTCAAGCTTTCTATTGAGTTCTTCAATTTGCTTTTGCTTTCTTTCAGTGTCATCAATCAAATTGGTCTTTTCAACCTTGGTCTTGTTCAAATCCAAAGTCAAATCTTCAACTTCCTTTTGGAGTTGTTCAATATCTTGGCTGAGTTTCTTGTTGGCTTGTTCAGACTTTCTCAAATCTTCTTCCTTAAGAGATCTAGTCTTATTTTCGGAGGTGAGTCTTGATCTTTCATCTTCCAATTCACAGCCCAATAACATGATCTTTTGATCTCTGCTTGAAACTTCATTACCAGCGACGATCAACTTGTTTTCCAATTCAGAAACAGTTCCTTCCAATTCCTTTTGCTTCTTTCTCAAAAATTCAATGTCATTTTCACGATTTTGAATATCAGTTTGCTTTTGTTTCAATTGGACATCTCTAGATCTGACTTCTTGTTCCAAATTGTGAATCTTTTCATTCATAACCTTGATAGCTTCTTCAAGATTTTGAATGGTTTTGTTCAAATCATTGATGGTGCTTTGTTTGTATTCACCATCATCCTTCAATGAACGAATGTTTTGATCTTTTTCAGATCCAGCTTGTTCAAGACTTCTGACTTGAGCAGTTACCTTTTCGAATTCATTGTGAGCTGCTTTGAGTGCTTCCTTGGCAACATCACGTTCTTGAATCATCTTTTGTCTTTCCAATTCAATCTTCTTCTTATCTTCTTGTTCTCTCTTGACAGCTTCTTGCAAATCAACGAGATCTTGCTTCAACTTTTCAGTTTGTTTCTCAGAAGCGAATTCCTTCAAGAGTGGCTTGACAATTGCCAACAACTTCCACCAATCCCATTCACGCAACTTGGTATAACCTCTGAAGTTTCTTTGAATGGTCTTGATACTCAACAATCTTCTTTGTAACTTTTTGTAACAAGCTCTTTCATATCCAGCCAAAGCAGCAGCTTGAGCAACACCAATAATCTTTGAAATTTGAACTTCTCTCAAGCTTTCCAATTCAGCTTCTTGTGAGGACTTCAAAAAGACCTTAGTGAGACCAAGTTTATATTGCTTGGTTTCTTCGAATTCGATATATTCCAAAATTGCCTTGGTTCTCTCCTTATCAGTGGCATTCTTATCAGAGAGTAATTTGGTACGATCTTCAACTAATAATTCATAACGTCTGACAAAGTCCTTGTACAAGATTCTACCTGGATAACCCTTTCTTGAAATTCTGATACCTTCCAAGACACCGTTACATCTCAATTGATGGAGAACATTGTTATCTTCAACAATACCTGGCTTTTGTAAATTGTTTGGTTTGATACAACGAATAAAGTGTGGTTCAGTAGAGCCGAGTAATTCCATCAATTCAGTCAATTGTTGCTTGTATTGAGCAGATACAGTCTTGAAACGAGTACCAGCTCCTTGTTGCTTCTTACCAGAGTTTGAAGATTCTTCACGATCAGAAGCTCTATTGTAAAGAGCCTTAACGAATGGAATTGAGGATTGAAGCATTGCCTTCTTACAATCATCATTCAATGGATCAACGTTACGTTTGAACCAATCATTGGTGTCATAGATAACTTTACCAGCATAGTGTTTCAAGGTGAATTCCAATTCATTAAACTTGGAAGTTTCGAAAATTGGTTTAGTACCATGATTCTTGGTAATTTCACGAACGAGACCAGCTTCATTCTTTTGAGCCATGAAAGTTTGTTGGTCCAAAATTGACAAGATACCCAATGGCTTTTCAATCAAATCAATAGTTGGTTGCAAGTCCAAACCAAAATCAATAAATGTCCATTCAATCTTTTCCTTCAAATATTCTTCTTGTTCCTTCTTGAACATGTGATGATTGAAGAATTGTTGCAATTTTTCGTTAGTAAAGTTGATACACAATTGTTCGAAACTGTTGTTTTCGAAAATTTCAAAACCAGCAATATCCAACAAACCAATGAAATTCTTGATACTTTCTCTGGCAATCAAATTTTCATTGATACGAGAAACGAGCCAATCAAACAAACGATTGTAAGTTGATTTAACCAAAGCATTTCTATTGTAAGAAGCTTGAAGTGCAGTAACGTGAGTTTCAATACGATCAGTTGGAGTAATAATATCTGGTTTCATGAAACCTTTAGCTAAACCATCTGGATTGACCTTAACCAATTCAGCAGCAACTTCCAAACATGAACGATCTGGCAAAGTTGACAATTCATCTTCATTATTCTTGAATTCAATATTACCAAAATGAAGAATGGCAGCAATAACTCTACAACAAGCATCAATTTCATCTTCATTAATACCAATAACACGCATAGAATTGAGTGTATCTTGGAATTCCTTCTTATCATCAATACCAGGAACGTGAGTACAACCTGATTGATTTACAAAATGGAATGAATTAACACCAGAGGTGAGTTTGTACTTTTTACATGATTCTGGATCGGCTAAAATTTGATAGAAAAAGTGGAAGTTACGTTCATTACTAGCTTGTGAAATAACACGAGTGGTTTCCAAGAGATAGTGAGTAATTTTAGTACCAACAATGTATCCTTGAAGACCAAAATCAATGGAAATGAATTTACCAAAACGAGAAGAATTGTTGTTTCTAATAGTTTTAGCATTACCAAAAGCTTCCAACAATGGATTGGTTTGTAAGAGTTTTTGCTCCAAGTTACCACCTCCTGATGAAGCGTGGCTTGTTGCACCAGCAACAGTTGCAAGATATTGAATAATCTTTTTGACTGTAGTATTATTGAATATTTTACAATTTGTTAAAAATTATTACAAAATATTGTAAAAAAAATACAATTAGTAATTAAATCAAATAGAATAGATATTAATATAAAAAAAACTGATTGAATATTGAAAATAACATACCTGATTCAGTTTTACCAGCACCTGATTCACCTGTAACCAACATGGATTGATTCTTCTCATTCAACAACATTTGTCTATAGGAAACATCAGCAACGGTAAAGATGTGAGGATCAACATCTTCTCTCCTCTTTCCAGAGTGTTTTTTAATCACCTCATTTGTATAGATTGGCAAATTCTTATATGGATTTACAGCCAACAAGAACAAGCCAGAATATGTATAGATATCATCTCTAGTATATCTCAATTTGAGGTTGTGTAATACAGATGGTTCATTCAAATGAGATAAACTGGCCATATCCAAAGCATAATCTAATTTGAGTGGATTTGATGGTGAGAGTTGAGTCAATTTAAAAGTTTCTTGTTGTTTTGTAAGTGAATTTTCACAGACTGCTGTTTGTTTTGATTCATCAATTGAAACGACACGTGCCAATTGGAAAGCTTCAGCACCAGAATCTACTACGGATGGTGTTGTTGGTGTATTAGGTTCACTTGTATTTGAAGCTGTTGAAGAAAGTGGTAACCAAACATCATCATTGACTTTGATTTTATATTGGGACTCATCTTCAATGATTTCAGTGTTGGTGGATTTGCGATTTCTACTCATCCTTTTGTTTTTTATGTGTTGTTTCTGTGCTTCAGAATGGATGACGACTCTCAACACTTGTGAAAGGTGTGAATTTTTTTTACTTGATGTTGACGAGAAATAGTTTTTGACAAGTTAATGATGATTGAATGATGTGATGATGGACGATTGGGTTTTGCTTCAAGAATAACATCAGTGAATGATTGAAATTGGTTAAACAGATGATGGTGGTGTTTCAAATGAAGATTGTAGATTTCATTATCATAGATAATATTCATCATCACCATCATCATCATTAAATTTATTAATAATAACAAATAATTATATCAACCCGGATGTATTTATTGTTGTATCTTCCTCAATCATGGTAATAATTCCTTCTCACACGAGTGAAATTAAATTTTGCTCTTCAAATGTTGAAAGGGAAGTTTCTATTGATGATCATTTAGAACAAGGCTATATTGCGTTCTAATTATTCTAAATGATGAGTATTATTGTGATAAAAGTATTAAATTCAATAATTTGATGCAGCAATCAGGAAGTAAAACATTTGCACATATTCCCTTGTACAATATCCGATGATTACCAACAAGGAATATATGTTGTAATTCCACAATCCATCAATTGTTTTTTGAAAATTAATAATTGCTTCTTAAAATCTGTAGCTATTTACAAATTTCTCCAAAATAATGTTATTCACATTCCTTATAGTCCTATCATGTTGTACATTGAACGGTTTTTAATGTCATAAAGAATTGCTGTTGAAAATCATCAATTCTCTGAACCGTGTTGCTTGTTGTTGTTCAGAAATTTTTTTAATTTTTTAATTTTAAATCGGAAAATTATTTTCTTCACCAAGATAATCTTTACTTTCCAATGAATTACATCAATAAGGTGCATTAAGCAAGAGTTTCACACCATTCATGAATATTATCGAATGGTATCAAAGCAAATTCCTTCACTCAGAATTACATTATTCAACACCATTGTAAGAGACGCACAATTTTTGGCCGTGCGGGTGCAATATCATCAAGCTAGCACTTTCTTCTTGTTCAACAATCAACATTGAATTAATGTCTCATCTCCTCCCTTCAAAAAAGAATCAACAACAATTATTCTTGAAGCAAAAAAAAAGCAAAAAAGTCTATCAATAGCTTTTGTAGCCAAAGAAGAATCTGATTCGGAACAGGAACATCAAGAAGCGTACATACGCCATTTTTTCAATTGTTCCATCCTCATTATCATCATCAAATAGAATTAAATAGAATTAAAAATGATGCAACCATCGCCGACATACAATAAGAATGATGGTGGTGGTGTTTTTACTAATGTTGCTACGAGAGGAACAGCTTCACAACCTACAGTGATGAATCCTCAATTGGCTTTTAAAGAAACTGAAGAAGAAGCTTCGGAGCCTAAAAAGATGGCTGAAAATGTTGATCAATACTTTAGAGATGTTCAAGAAGTGGATGAATTTCAAATTGCAGAGGAGCATCAGTATGTTTTATTTTGTAATTTATTAGTTTTCTAATTAGTATTTATTGTCATCATTATACCATCATCATTATACCTGTCATTTTCATCATCATTGATAAATTCTTTCAATGAAAACACACAAAATAGACAAGACTGTCCTGAAGAAACAGCAAACATCTTCTCCAGATTATCATTTTGGTGGTTTAATCCATTGATGAAAACTGGTTACAATAAGGTTCTTCAATTATCTGATCTGTATAAATTGAGAAAAGTTGATGAAGCTGCATACCTTTCCGATGACTTTAAGAAGAATTGGGACAAGGAAGCAGCCAAAGCAAAAGATCATCAAGATGTCGAGTCACACGAACTCGATGAAAATATTAAGAAGAAAAAACAATCCAAACCAAGTTTAATTTATGCAATTCACAAGACATATGGTCTCAGATTTTACTTGGCTGGTTTGTTAAAAGTTGTCTACGATATTTCTCAATTGACCAGTCCAATTTTGGTAAAGATGATCATTTCAACAATTAGAGATTCCGAGACAGTTCCAGTTTATCAGGGTTATTTATTAGTTTTAGGGCTTTTCCTTCTTCAAACATTTAGTACTTTATTTATTCAACAATATTTCCACATTGTCATGTCACAAGGTATGCGTCTCAAGACAGGGTTGAGTGCTGCCATCTATGCAAAGAGTTTAAGGTTATCCAATTCAGCAAGACAAAAAATCAGTTCTGGTGATATTATCAATTATATGGCAATTGATGCTAACAAGCTTTGTGGTCTAGTGACATATCTACACATGACATGGAGTGGTGTTTTCCAAATTTTTGTATGCTTGGCGATGTTATTCTCACTCATTGGTTGGTCAACCTTAGCTGGTGTTGCTATTATTGTTGTTGTTATTCCCTTAAATGGTGCTATTGCCAGAGTAGTTCAAAAAATTCGTAAGGCCATGCTTCAATTTACTGGTGAACGTATCAAGTTTGTTAATGAAGCTATTCAAGGTATTAGAATTATCAAATTCTATGCTTGGGAAAATTCATTTGTAAAAAAGATTATGGAAATCAGAAATAAGGAAATGTGGAAGATTACTCAATCAACATTTATTGGTATTGTTACCAGTATGTTAATGACTATGGCTCCATTGTTTGTCGGTGTTGCCACTTTTGCTATCTTTGCTGCCACTGGTGGATTGTTGGATGCTGACATTATTTTCCCATCCCTTTCCTATTTCAACTTGTTGAGATTCCCAGCTACCTTCTTGCCAACTATTCTTGCCCTCCTTGCTGAAGCTAAGGTCAGTTTGGACAGACTTCAAAACTATTTACTTGCCGATGAAATTGAGGATATTACTTTAGGATCTGATATTGATTGTCCAATTATTATTGAAGATGGTACCTTTATTTGGAAGTCCAACCAAGAAAAGAAGGAAGAACCAGCAAGCAAGGATAAGAAGAAGCCTGAAGCCAAAAAGCCAGCTCAACCTACTCTCAAATCAAAGACCAAGAGTAAGGGATCAAAGACTGAAAAGAAAAAGTACAATGAATTTGAAGATGAAGAAGAAGCAGAAGCAGATCAAGTCACTATTGAACTTGCTGAAGGTGAGGAAGAAGAGGAAGAGGTAGTAGAAGCTTCTGAAGGTGAATTGCAATTTGTAGATGATAAGGAAAAGGCATCAGCACCAGAAAAGAAAGACTTCACACTTCAACATGTTAACCTTCAAGTCAAGAAGGGTGATTTGGTTGTTATTGTGGGTCTGGTTGGTTCTGGTAAATCATCACTCTTGTCAGCAATTATCGGTGAAATGTTCAAACAATCAGGAAACCTCCAAGTTTCTGGTAGTGTTGCCTATGTTCCTCAACAAGCCTGGATTAGAAATGCCACTGTAAGAGATAATATCTTGTTTGGAAATCCTTTCAATACTGAAAAATATTACAAGACTATTGAAGCTTGTTGCTTGGAAAATGATTTGGAAATTTTAACAGCCGGAGACATGACTGAAATTGGTGAAAAGGGTATCACTTTGTCAGGTGGTCAAAAGCAAAGAGTTTCTTTAGCTCGTTCAGTTTACTCTGATGCTGATGTTTATTTATTCGATGACGTTCTCTCTGCATTGGATCAACATGTTGGTAGATCTGTATTCCAAAATTGTATTTGTGGATTATTATCAAACAAGACTCGTGTATTAGTCACTCACCAATGGCAATATTTGAAGGATGCTGATCATGTAATTGTGGTTGAAAATGGTGCCATTGTTGCTCAAGGCTCTCACTCTGAATTAGTTCAAAGTGATTCCAAGTTCTCTTCCATGCTCAAGAGCTATTTCAAGCAAGACAAGGAAGAAGAAACTGAAGAAAAGAAAGAAAAGGAAGAAGAAGGAGAAAAGAGTATCAAGAAGAGAGATGGTAAATTAATGTCTACTGAGGAACGTGCTGAAGGTAGTGTCAAGGCTAGTGTTTATAAGAGTTATATTAGATATGCTGGTGGTTATATTGTCTTGTTGGCCATTCTTTTACTCTTTACATTGAATCAGGCTTCTCAAATTATGACATCTTGGTTCTTGGCTGAATGGTCAACTATTGCCACACAAAGTATACTGCCAACCAATGGTACTGCATCCAATAGTACAATGTACAACTCCACTGAACTCTTTGATACCGTATTCTCATCTTATGATGTCAATAATGCTACTAATGGCACTCTACCAGCCACTCCTACCGAATTAGGCTACAATTTGCCAATGTTTATTGGTATTTACGTTGCTTTGGGTGTTGGAAGTGCCGTCTTTATGTTCTTCCAAGAACTTTCCTTTGGTTTTTCTGGTCTTAGAGCTGCCAAACAATTGCACTCCAAGGCTTTGGATAAGATTATGAACTCACCAACTCATTTCTTTGACACCAATCCAGTCGGTCGTATTATTAACAGATTCTCTAAGGATACTGAAAGTATTGACGGAAGTCTTATCGGTACTTTGAGAATGTTGCTGAATTGCATCTTTTCAGTATTGGGTACTTTGATTTTGATTGCTACTGTCAGTTATCTTTTCATCATTCCAATTATTCCAGTCTTGTTGGTTTACTATTTTGTTCAAAAGTATTACAGAAGTACTTCTCGTGAATTGAAGAGACTTGATTCCATCAGTAGAAGTCCACTCTTTGCACACTTTGGTGAAACCCTCACTGGTATTGCCACTATTAGAGCATACAGAAGACAAGAAGAATTCGTATTGGAAAATCACAAGTTATTGGACAGAAATAACAAGGCCTACTTTGCTCAACTTGTTTCTCAAAGATGGTTGGCTTTCCGTTTGGAATTGGTGGGAGCTGTAGTTATTCTATTTGCTGCACTTGCTGCCCTAGTTGGAGGTACAACAGCTGCTATGGCTGGTCTGTCATTGTCATATGCTCTTTCTGTTACTTCGACTGCCTCTTGGTTGGTTCGTTGTGCAACAGAAGCTGAAGCTGCCATGAACTCTGTTGAAAGAGTTCTCTACTATTGTGAAGAAATTCCACAAGAAGCTCCAAAGAGTATTCCAGAAACCAAGCCAGCTGAAGAATGGCCACAAAAGGGTGAAATTGAACTCAAAAACGTCTACTTCAAGTACAGAGAAGAACTCGACTTTGTGTTGAGAGATCTCAGCCTCCATGTAAACCCAACTGAAAAGATTGGTATTGTGGGACGTACTGGTTGTGGTAAATCAACCTTAATGCAAGCTCTGTTCAGAATTACAGAAGTAGCTCAAGGTCAAATTGTTGTTGATGGTGTAGATATTTCCAAGATTGGTTTACATGATCTCAGATCTAAATTGGCAATTATTCCTCAAGATCCAATTTTATTCTCAGGAACTGTCAGATTCAATTTGGATCCATTTGATGAATATACTGATCAACAAATTTGGCAAGCTTTGGAAAGATCTCACATTAAGGAAAAGATCAAGTCATTGGAAGGTCAACTTTCTTACAAGGTTGCTGAATATGGTGAAAACTTTTCTATTGGTGAAAGACAATTAATCTGTGTTGCCAGAGCAATTTTGAGAAAGACCAAGATTCTTATCATGGACGAAGCTACTGCCAATGTTGATATGCAAACTGATGCCCTTCTTCAAGAAACTGTTAGAACTGAATTCTCTGACAGAACTGTCTTGACAGTTGCTCACAGACTCAACACTATCATTGACTCTGATAGAATTGTTGCTTTGAAGGCAGGTCAATTAGCTGAATTCGATACTCCAAGAAACTTGCTCACCAGAAGTGAACAATCCATCTTTGCTTCTTTGATTGAGGAAACTGGAAGAAATAACGCTTCCTATTTGAGATCAATTGTCATGGGAGAATTGGATTATATGAAGGAATTGAAAAAGTCACAAGAACACGACCATTAATAAATTATTAAATATATTGAAAATTAAAATTCTTAGGTGTCCTAGGTTGAATGTTATGAATTCATATTATTGAGAGCTTACTTGATTACTTTGAAAAAAACTCAAGATTTTCGTTTGTTTTGTTCTCTTTCTATTCTTTTCATAGTCTTCATTTGTGTGAATATCAGAGGTAACGAGCTTTCGTTTGGGAGCTGCTTTGGATACTTTTGTTTTCCTTTGTGTGGTTTTCGTTTTTGATCTGTTTGTAGGTTTCTTTTGTTTTGGCTTTTCGACCGTAGTTTTTCGTAATACTATTTCTTCTTCATCATCCTCTTCAATGTTACTTTCTGCTTGCGAATGAGATTCCTGTGATTGTGATACTTGTGGGGGTGAGGGTGAAAGTGTTGGCTGTTCTTGTTCTTTTTGTTCCTCTTCTTGAGTACTCAAAAGAGCCAAGTCTCTTTCCATCTTTTCCATCAAAATAAGCCAAAGTGGCTTTGTTACTTGTTTTTCTTCCAATAAATCTCCACATTCCATTCCTCCTAGCTCTTGATCAAATTCCTGAGCTTCTTCATTGACTTCTAATGCTTCTGTATTTTCTGCCTCTGAACGATCGTCTTCCTCGACCTTTTCTTCAATTTTGATCTTCTCGGCTTTCTTCCTTGTTTGGCTTCGTTTTTTGCTTTGTTTCGTCTTGCTTTCTGGCTTCTCCTTTTTCATTTTCTTTTTCAATGCTTTCAGGACCAAAGTTGCCACCAACTCACCACTTTTTCTTTTCACTTCTTCAAATTTCTTTCTCTTCTTCTCCAAACGTTCCTCCTTTGTCAGAGAAGGTCGCTTCTTCTTCTCTGTCTTGACTTGAATCACTTCTTGTTCCTCACAAGCAGCACCTTCTTCAGCCATTGTTTGTTCTTCTTGTTCCTCATCATTATCAGGAATATTTTCATCCTTCTTACATTCCGAAATTCTTTCCTCCTTGATAATTATTTCATCCGTTGTTGTTTTTATTAATTTGTCATCATTAATATCATATTGTTCCATTCCATATGATGATTCTATTCTCTCCTCCGTCTCTTCTTCCACACTTGTTGATGATGATAATGTTTTCTTTTTCAAAATAACCGCAATCCTACTTTGAAGAATTTCCTTCCTCATGTTGTTGCATTTTTTTGTGTAATTGGCTTATTAGGAAGGTCGAGTGAGCACACGAATTTCAATATTTGGCTTGTATTGTTGTTGAATTTGATGTGAAATTATTTACATGGAGGTTAATTCTCTCTTACTTGTTGAATGATTTGCTTGATTTTGATTTGTTCTCCAATTTTAATACCTAATTCTTTTAATTCTTGGCCTGAGAGAGCTAAAAAGACACTGCCATCAATGTTTTCATTTCTGAAAGGATCTTTCACGGATTCATATAGCTTTTCGTCTATTAATTTGATAAATTTGATAAGGTCTTCTGTTGACATGGCTTCTAGTTGTGACACATTTTCTTTCACTTTGCTCATTAAGGATTGACTTTTGAATGGTGTTAACACCAAAGCTGGAGTGGTTTGGATTGGTGGAGGTGCAGTAGTTTCTTGAATTTCATCATCTTCATCACTCTCAATTTCAATAATCTCTTCTTCATTCTTTTCTGACTCCGTAGTTGTTTTCTTTTGCTCAATTGGAACATTTGCTTTGGCTAACTCGACCAAGTATCCAATGTAATTACGATATTTAATTTCAAGGTTAATAAGAAGCTCCTTATAATCGAAATAAGTTGTCAATCCACCAGCTTTTTGGGAAGGGATTTGTTTGACAGCTCCAAAATTCAAGCTCATTGCGGCTGAAGTCTTTATCATGGACTCTTTAATTTTGATTTGTGGAGATTCAGTGGATTTAATTTTTGAATTATCACCATGAGATTTTCCCTGATGAGATTTCTGGGCACGATGAATCTTCACCTCAATAACACCTAATTTATCTAATAGTGCACGATCAACTACTTCACTTTCGTCCTGAGCCATTTTACTCTTGCTGACAATAAAGTCTTGTGAAAAGCCTTTGGTATTATTTCTATAATCTCCAATCAGTGTTGTTCGTTCACTCTTAAGAATTTTTGAAGCAGCCTCCAATCCATTAAACCCAATTACATAGGCAACATCAATAGAACTCTTATTTTCCAACAAAAATCCAATACGAACTTGTTCCTCTCCTCCAGTATCATCCGACAGTCCAGAATTAAATTCACTAATACAACAAGCAATAGATCTTTCTACAACTTCAGGCTCGGATTCAGGTTCAACCTCATCATCCTCATCATCATGATTTGGAATATTCTTCAACACTCTATAATCAGCTCGTTTCCAATTCTTCTCATCTGAATCATCACTTGTATCATCAACCTTTCTAGTTAATAAATAAATACGAATATCATCCAAATCTTCATCCGAACAAACTTTTTTCAAAGCCTTTGGACGTTTTGTTTTCTTGCTAGGCTTTTCTTGCAGTGAAGAATTTTCCTCGCTAGATGCTGATGATGATGTTGTTGAAGTGAGCGAGGATCGGCTTCGTTTATGTGACGGCATTTTTTTGTATTGAAAAACAAAAAGTTTTGGCTTTCTAAATTTGTAAAACTTACAAATTTGCCTTTTTTACATCATGTTACATTTCTCTCCCCTTTTTTGATTGGATATAATATTGTAATTTCCTTTTCATTATTAATTATTTTTTGTAAAATTATTTCAGTATTCCAATTTTGGTAATTTTGTTTTTTTGTTGGATTTTTTGGGGTTGAATAAATTAAATATCGATTAATAATTTCTTTCATAATTTCCTCAGTACCTTGTCCAGTTTTAGCACTCATGTGCACAATTCCACAATTTAGCATGACCCTGTTTCGAATTAATCTTCTAATAAGTATTTCTTTAGTTTTGGTATCGATTTGAGAATTATTACTTGCTGATTCGGATAGTAAATCACTTTTTGTGAATGCAATTATGCATGGAGTATCATCACAATCCTTAATTCTCAATATTCGATGCATTTCATAATACAAATGAGAAAAACTATGTTCTAGTGATTTTACAGAATCATGAATCGATGGAAATACAATAATTGACACTTGGCAGTTACGAACTGACATATCTCTAAGTGCTTCAAACTCATCTATTCCAATTTTGAATTCAAAAATCCTCAAATAAACTTACCATAAATGGAAGGTTCTTCAAATTCAATGTCAAATTTTTGATTATTGACACTAATTTGTTTTCTAAAAATTTCTTCCACAGTTCCCATATCAAACACTTCAAAGAAATCATCATTGGCGCATCTTCTACATAGATTTGATTTTCCTGCTCCTACTTCTCCCATTACACACACTTTGAAATTATTAGATTCTTGAACTGAATGTTGAATGTTTCGAATAGCACAACAATCATTATTAAATTTCATTTCTACCATTTTATGTAATAGTAGATAACATCTTTTAGCTTTTGGTCTGATCTTTTCCTTTTTACTTTCAATAAATCCTTTTGGAAAGTAAAATTCTCTCTGGATTAAAATTATCCAAAATTCGTTTAATTCCCTTCCAATCGGAATGTCATCATTTTGAAAGAATGAACAAATAGATTGCAAATTTAAAACCATTCGTTTCATATTTTCAAGTATCATTGAAATAGGATGATGGAAAAGTGTTTCGTCTGCAACTTTCCAATATTCTGATGTATTCGGATAGTTCAGAAAGGAGAGAATGACTCTAAGAATTTCTGTAGGTAATTTCAACAGAGAAGAATCACTTTCTGTCCGTTTACGCATTTTTTATAATTATATTAATATTATAGAACTACTGGCCAATAAACCAAAAGAGCTTTGGTTAATTCGATTCTATTAAAAGAAAAGAAAGTGTATGAAATTGTAAAAACCTTAGTTATTACAATTGTATTCCGAGTCGAATTTGTGTTAGTTGTCATGAGATGCCAAGTTTGTTTTCAGCATGAAGAAAAAAAACTTGGACAACCTTCCAAGTTTAGTAAGTCTAATGTCTTGAATATACTTCAGTGAATTAGGATATGTCTTGTGTAATATGTTAGACTTCAGTCAAATGAAGAAGGAAAATGACAAGTAACAAGTTTATTGTGATGTTTCGCATACTGAAATTTAGTGAAACCACATGAAGATAACAAATATAGAAAGTACATGAAAACAAACTTAAAACAACTTTCGAATAAATTTTCCCCTCATTCTTCTCTTCTTCACTTCTTCACAATACTCAAAAAAAAACTATTCAAAATGGCTTCATACGAAATGCAAGGAGCTACCTCCACCTCTCCTTCCTCGCAAAAGACCCCTCTCAATATCCACCAACTCAACCAAGAACGTCATGTCAAGAATAGAATCTTTGGTTGCAGAGAACACAACCCATGTGAAGCAATAATGTTCTTCTTGTTCAAGGTAATCACATTGGGACTTTCAGAACTCTTATTCGTCAATCAAATTACTCGTTACGAAGTTAGAAAGATGAGAATTGGTAATCGTCGTTTGAATTATGATACTTCTCATGGTTTTGGCATTATTTTTAGATGTTTCTGGAATAACATGTTGAATTATTTGACGCTCGGCATTTGGTACATTAGTGGACAAATGACAGTTCATTATTATTCTCATTTGGATGAGAGAATTCATTGGGCAGAGGAGGTAAAGCCAAGAAAACCAACTCAAGATGAAAAGATGGAAGCAAGTGGAAGTTTTCCAAATTTGGATGAGTTTGTGGTTTGGCAACCTGAAAATGATTGTCGTGGAGTGATTCGTTATTATGGTGTTCATCTTGGATGGCAAAGAGAATTGTTATATACCTTGATGAAGACTTGTGCTATTTTGACATTTGGTTTCTTATATCCTTTCGTCCACCAATATTATAATCCAAAGTTTTTGGAACAAGTTAGATATGGAAGAGGTCAATTCGTTGTTATTCCACCACAAGTTGCTTCTCAATTGAGAGAAAGAAATAAGAAAACTCAAATCAATTACAATGTTCAATATAGCTCACAATATCCAATCATTGGTCAACCAATTACTTCACCAGTTGAAATGAGATTCGAATGGACTGCTGATACTACTGATATGTTCTGTAGATACTTCTTGGGTGCAGTTATCAATAATTTCACATTTGGTTTCTTCCGTTGTTGTTACTGGTATTGGTACATTTTCAATTTTTACAATGATCACTCTTTTATCATTCTTGATGGCAAGTCTCATATCTAAATCACAATCCATTCTTGTAGTAAATAATAATTCACTCATAAACTTGAATTTTTTTATAATTTCAATTTTTTTCCAAATTCTAAATTAATAAAAAAACCAAGTTCATCATCACCCCAAGTTTTTCGTGATCTAGATATTCATCATCACATGGCTGATGAAAACTTTTAAAACTCATCTGTATTCCGATAACAGCAACCAATTCAATCTTCAAATGATCGTTAATAATAACAATATCTTTAATGCACCAACGAATGATGATGATGAAGGAGAAGAAGAATACTGCTCAACACCAGATGAAGATTCTTTTCCATCATCATTATCATCACCAACAATACAACAACAACAAGACAACATCAATACAAAACAATTGAAAAAACGAAGAAGAAAAAAAAAGCGAAAAATGTCCGCCGTCAGTGGAGAGTCATCCTCATCATTAGTTGCTGATCAACAAGAACAGTACTATATTGAAAAAACAGATTATGGAGAGTTGAAGATTACACCTATTGATATAAATTGTTTGGAGGCTTGTATGAATCAAGTGGCTGGGCATGGAACGAGAAAGAAAAAAAAGGAACTTTCATTGATGGTCAGGGATTGTAAAATATACAAGGCAATACAACCAGGAAAGAAGAGATCGTGGTCAGAGGTTCATTTCTATGAGAATCAAGTTAAATTGGCAGCCTATCTTCTTCCTTTCATTCCGAAATATTATGGAGTGCAAAGAACTTTTGTACCTTTGGAAGAAGGAGAAATACCTGATATTACATCAAACAGCTCAGTGATGGATACTTTATATTTACAACAAGCAGGTGTTAGTACTAATAGTGATTTGAATAGTCAATCTTCATCGGAAGTGTCCTCATCATCAGTGTCACCTGCCAATACACCAACACTTCCTTCACAACAAACTTTCAAACCAATCGATTTTATAGTATTAGAGGATATTACAGCTAATATGGATCATCCAAATGTGATGGACATTAAAATGGGTCAAAGAACCTATGGCGAAGATGCCTCACCACAAAAGATTTTGGAAGAAGAATCCAAGTACGTCTATCAACACCAACTAGGAATGAGAATTAGTGGAGCTAAAATCTATGACATTGTAAAAAAGGAATATCAATATTTTGATAGACAGTGGGGAAGAAGTGTCACCCCTGATACTATTGTTGAAGCAATGGAAACTTTCTTATTTAGTAATGGGTTTGATGAAGAAACTCGTGTTAGTGTAGGAAGACACGTCACTAATCTTTTACTGAAAGAAGTAAGAAAGATTCACCATTTATTCACAGAGAAAAACGACAAATTTAGAATGTATGCTAGCTCACTTTTAATTGTTTACGATAGAAACAAGAACTTTTCAATGAAAATTATTGATTTTTCCCACGTTCACCAAAACCTCCTCCATCAACCAGTTTACGACACCAACTTTATTCAAGGTCTCGTGACAATCATCTCAGTTTTGGAAACTTTGGAAGAACGATATAGTCAACAACAATAAATTAGTTGCGCTTCCAATATCTCAACAATGAACTCCGAAAAATCTCCTTCTCGGAGTTGTACAATTTTAGTTTTGCATGATACTTCCCAAAACTGCAAAACGTTATTACTGCAGTGATTTTGTGTGAATTGCTTTTTTCGACTTTAAAAAAAATAATGAACTCTAGAATGTCCTCTCACTTGCTGTCCACGTTGATGCTTGTGGTCGTTGCCACTAGCTGCCTTGTGCTGTGTGGTTTCTCGGAGGCTCAAAATGTTTGTCAATTTACACCAAGTAGGTATTCTTAAAAATTGATGAAAATTCAAAGTGGATAACTCATCATTACCTATTAATTAAATTTGGAATTTAAAATTGTTTTTATTAAATCGTCATCATGATGACGTTGGAATTATTTTATATTGTAAATTTCATCATCATCAACTTGGAATTTAAACATGGATCATCATCATTAATAATACTATTGATTGAATAGATACTCCTATTTCATACGACTCGATTAAATCATGTGTTTATAACATTACATTGGATTCCGAAATTTCTAAACAAACACTTTCTAGTATTCAAAAGACAATTCCAATGTACGTCTTTCGTGAATATGTAAAGAATGCTACCGATCCACGTTTCAATATTAGAGTTGATCTTTTGGCTGAATTGGAAAAGATTTCCCAAGAAACCTTTGAATATGATTTTGATTTCCATCAATCAATTGTTGCTCTCTTCAGACAACTCAATGATGGACATACTTTATATTTTGCTCCTCAATGTTATGGAAATTTAGTATTGAGACAACCATTCTCTATCATTTCCTATCTCGATGATGCTGATAATGTTCAAAAGATTGGAATTGCCTCTCTCAATAATGCTTCTGGAATTATTGATTATTATACTGGTTTGGGATATGATTTGAAAAAGTTTGTTGGAGGTGAAATTACCAAAATTCATGGAAAGGTTGCTATTAGACATATTGTCGATTGGGCTAATGCTAATGCTGGTGGTTACAAGGATGAAGGAGCTCGTTTCAATGTTGCCATCTCTAACTTGTTCATGACTAGATCTTTGAATAGACTCGGATTCCCAGTTAATGGTGAAATTGTTTCCTATGAAATTTTGGCTACTGATGGAACTACTAGTACTGTTAATATTCCTTGGGTTGGTTCTTCATTGATTAATTATCAATCACCAAACGATTTCTATGCCTCATGTCTTGCTACTGCTAATAGAGCTAGATTGACCAATGAGGAAAAGAAGGTCGATCCTCTCCAAGAAAAGAGAACTCTTCCACTTTTGTCTAAAGCAACCAAGGATACTCACAATATTGTCAATCTCATCACTGGTGATCAAGTTAATTATTTCCAAATTGATGGAAAGGTTGGTGTTATTACTGTTGAATCTTTTGTTCCAAAAGATGAAGTTCAATTTGCTAAAGATTTCCAAACAGCCATGTATCTTGCCAAGCTCAATAAGATTCCACGTATTATTGTCGATGTTACCAACAATGGTGGTATGTATTCTATTTTAACATTATTATTCAAATAATTTCCAAATACTAATACTATTCTGATTAATTTAATAACAAATAGGTGGTGAAGAATGTTTGGGTTATGCCCTCATTAAATATTTGCACTCTAATGCCTTCTCTAGCAATTTTGAAACTCTCTTTGCTAGAACTGACATGATTGCCACAGAATTGGGAAGACAATTAGCAACTGCTGGAACCAAATTGTCACCAGATGCTGATTCTATTTGGAATTTTGCTACTTGGAAGACTATTGATGGAAAGAATTTCAAAGATGAAACTTGGTATACCAATCAAAAGAGTTACATTAGAGGTACTGATGGAAAACCAGCATTCTATTCATCCATTCTTAAGGAAAATTATTGTCAACCATCATTTGATAATTACTATTTCACTGGTGAAGATTTGTTAAAGTACTCACCAGATGATTTCATTCTCCTCTCAAATGGTAGATGTGCCTCCACTTGTGCATTGTTCACTCGTCACCTCCAAGAATCTCAAAAGGTAAAGACTGTTGTCGTTGGTGGTTTGAGTGGTCAACCACAACAAATTGCACAAGTTCCAGGTGGTCAAGTTTATGAATTTGAAGATTTACTTGCTGATATTAAGAGTTTGAACATTAATTCAGATGTTACTCCAAAGCCACTTCCAGTTCAATCAAGATTCAGATTTGCCATTCGTGAAGCTTATGCTTGGAATCAAAATGAATTAACTCCTTTGGAATTCTTCTTTGAAGGTTCTGATTTCAGATTGAGTTATACTAAGGAAAGTGCTGTTGATAGATCAAAGGTTTGGATTGATACTATGAAATTCTTTGATATTTGTGCTAAATGGCAAACCAAGGCATGTAACTTGACCAATGGACAAGGTGTTCAAAATTGTAATACCAACACTGGTAAATATGTTCCAACCTGTATCTTGACCAGCTGTAATCCTGGATTTGGTTTCTCTGCTGAAAAGAAGAACTGCATTCCATGTGCCATTGGTGAATATAACCCAGGTCAACTTTCCTGTACTGCTTGTACTAATAAGCCAGCTGAAAATGCAGTCTACACCAACTCATCCACTACCAACAATTGTCCATTCGCTTGTGATGATGGTTATGATTACAATGCCTCAAAGAATACTTGTGTGATTTCAGAAGATATGAAAGTTGGTAAGGCCTTCTTTGGTATCATTATTTCCCTATGTGCTCTCTTCTTAATCTTTGCAGTTGCCTTACTCATTGTGACCGTTGTCATGTTTGTAAGGAATTACAAACGTGTCTCTGGTGAAAGAGCTACTCTCTTATAACTCAAATAAAACATCAATTAAATCCATTCTCAAGATTCTCAAGTTTGTTCCATTAAACATGTAAACAGTGAGATATGATCATATCTGGTTGGGAACATGCCCATTCGTGTATGATATTCTGCCAATTATGTCTTTGCAAAACCACAAATCAAACACACAAAAAAAAGCTCCACACTACGAAAAAGCAAAAACAGGGCCACCCACAACAATTTTGGATTGTGTGGCGACTGTGCTGAAATCAAAGAGAGACTGCTTGTGTTTTTCTTATGATTTTTATCGGAGAGAAATGATAACGAACAACAGGAAATATAATCATCATCAAAAGGGAGGAGCAATATCTGGAATTATTGTCAATATAATTTGTTATTATTGGATATTTAATTTATTAATGTTGGAAAATGTGATGATGGTGGAGGCTACTGCTGGGATTTCTACGAATTTATTTAATAATTGTCTAGTGACTGGACCTGTACGAGTGGAATGGGATTTAATTCTTTCAGGGGGTGTTAATCAATCAATGATGAGTAACATGAAATTTCAACTAAAATCATCAAGTATTGATAGGACTATTATTTGTCATGGAATTTCGTTTCTTACTTCAGTCACACCTTCAGAAACTTTAACAACTACTCCTAGTGGCATGCTTGTTAATGTTCCCTATTACTTTTTCTGCAATCATGTTAGCTATTTACCTAGGAATTTGGATACGTTTGGAGAATATTCGTATTCAGTGTGTATCATTTACAGGAATCAGACACATTTTGAAGAGTGTCGTCGACCAGCTACTAAATTGGAGAATTTAATTTTCAATTCTAATAGGAGTGAATTAACCCATCAGGACTTGCAATTGAACTCCTTTTATCCTATTCAATTGACAACTAAACTCAACATCGATAATACCCTATTGCCACGTTTGAATGGTAAAACTATTGTGCAAATAGTGTTCAAGAAAAATACTGGACTACAAGAGTTTGTTAAATTTTCGAGAAATGAGTCTTACACGGCTCCATTTCTGAAGGAGGAGCAACTATTCGAAGTGGTTCAAATTTTCAACTTGACTCAATCACATGGATGGGAAAAGGAATGTAATGCAGCTTTTTTTCAAACAAGACCATTCTACAATATTTGGAAGGGTATTTCTTGTTTCATTGTGGCACTTGTTTGCATTGGTCTTTTGGTAATGCTGGTCAAGGCTAGAAGGAATAGATATATTCAATCGAGATTCTTCTCGCCCTACTTTTCAACAGTTCTATTCTTTCTGGTGAGTGTATTGAGATTTGGTTTTGTGATGGCATCCTTTGACAATTATTATATGAACCTTGTCATGACTGCTGTCCTGGTATTGGTATTTTCATTGTATACCTTGCAAACGGTGAGATACTTTCTTTGTAGATGGTTCTACAAGAAGTATTATGAATCTGAGAGGAAGGAAACGTTCTGGTTCAGAATTATTTCATCCAAAATCACTTACATTATTTGCTCCATTCTTTTAATTGGTTTTGAGGTTATTTTAATTTACCTAGTTTCTGGTATTGCTGATACTACCTTAAAGAATGATATTTTAGATTATTTGACCATAGGTGCATTTGCTGTAATGATTTTTCTCAGTCTCAGTTCTACGACATTATACTTGCTGACCAATAGAGGAATTATCAAACAATTGGGAAGTTTTACCAAAGTTGTCAAGTGGTATTTTGTTTATGACGATACTTTTAAATATCATGCAGAGTTTTTAGCTGTTATTATTACTGCACTGGCTGGAATACTTTACTTTGCTCTGAGCTTGATTAATGGAAGTTACATGAGTGAAGTGTACTTTTTACCAGTTACGAATATGATGGCCACTCATATTATTGGATATTCTCTTTATGGTATTTCCAAAACATTATTTGAAGTTTGTTTGGTTTGTTTTGAACCAGGTTATTTGATTCTCATTTATTGGTACGAATCTAGACAGCCAGCCCTCGAGTTTGAAGGTCTGAAACAATTGAAATCAGAAATGGAATTTTTTTTCGCTCACAAAGTGGACGATGTACTCTGTGTAGATATTATGAAAAGATTTCTGGCCGCAGAATTCAGAGCCGAGTTATTGGAAGTCTATATTTTTGTCTCAAAGAATTCAAACTTTACCGAACAGGACATTACAAATATATTCCCAAATTATGTTTTGAAGAATATACTAAATGCAGAGGCAACTTCATTCAAATTGAAGGACAGTTTGGAAACTAATTTGAAAAAACTTGAAATGGTGATTGAGGAATCGACAATAACTCAAGTTCCAATCAGTCATCAAGGAATTATCACAAGCAAATTGGATTGGAAGAAGAAATTTATTAGTTTGGTAACTTTTCAAATGATTGACGCCTTTAGCAGATTGAAACAAACACCAACTTACAAAACTCACTATATTGGAATGAAGGAATTTGAAAATCAATTTGTTTCCAAGGTATTAGGAAGAGTTGGATCTCATAACAAATCCATTAATGATACCACTGTTGAACATCAGCATACCATTCAACAACAACAACCATCACCATCATCAGTACCACCACAACAACAAGATATGACAATACTAAATACAGCCATTCCACTCCATCAAACCAAACCATACATTAGTGTGGATTCAAATTCAACAAACGATACCACCTCCTCTCTCAAATAGACAATATTATATGTTGGTACCAACTAGTATCATTAGGAAATAACAAGCCAATAAGATCAACAGAATTGAAACAGACCCAAGATATTCATAACATTATATATTTATTTGAAAAGAGTGGGACAGATGAAGACGTTCTCAATTCCGAGAAGAATAAGGTGTAGGTATGTTCAAAAGTTCAATTTCCTAACCGTTACACAAAAATTAAGGCGTAAATTTTTAAAAATCAAAGCCTTAAAAAAAATCCTCATTACGCCACAACAACATAAGCTGCCATTCTTTGTGTTGTTTGATCATTGATTCCGTAGTATTAGTATTTTAATAGATAATTGTTTAAAAAGCGAGCGAATATTAACAGTTGAGGAGAATAAGATGAATTCAGCAACAATTAACAAGCCAACATCGTCATCATCATCGACGATCGGCTCTGGAAGACAAGCTCGTCCTTCCAGCTTACCAAAAGGAAGAACAATACCAAAACCTTCAGTGAATAGTAACAATGCACAGAGCATTGCAAGAAAACCAAGACCTTCGAGTGCTTCTGTATCGAGGGGAGGAAATACAACAACATTGAACAATGCGGTAGAAAAGAAACCAGCAACAATAGTAAAGGAAGGTCCAGTTACTCGTACATCATTTGAAACTGGAAGTCAAGTGAAAGAGGAATTGAGAGAAAAGGCAAAACTATCGATTAGAAATCAAAGATTAACAGAGAGATACTATCTCACATCACTGCAATTGTTAAAGAGAGTGAATGCTGGAGCCTGTAAAGATAATAAGGAAAGAAAGGTAGCAATGGATCGATTAAAACTGATGGAAGATTTACATCTCCAATCGATAGAGACAACGGATTTGAGTTTACTTGCAAGTGAGGAAAATTTGAAAAAGATGCACAAGAACAAATATCCAAATATACAACCTAAAATATACGAGGCCAGTAAGAATTATGGAGCTGGAGCAGAGAAGGAAAGAGAAAGGGAGGAAAGAGAAAGACTCAACCAGACAACTGCAAAACAACCAGTGGAACAACAACCAGAAATTGAGAAACCAAAAAGAACACTCAGAGGAAGGGCTGCTCCTTCGACAACAAATACCACCACTACCGCTCCTACAACCAGTGATAATAGATCTCCAACGCCAGAGAATGAAAGTGCTGATAGCTCTTCAGATTCAGATTCTGACGAATCATCTGAAAAACCTAAAGTTTATAATAGACCATCTGCCACTTTGTACAGACCTCCACCAAACTCCTCCACAACTCAAACAACTCAAACAGATGAAAAACCAAAGAGGACCCTCAGAGGAGGAGAAACCAACGATTCCAGAAGAAAATCAATCACCAACAGAAAGCAGTCCAACACAAGGAAATACACAAACAGAAACAACTATAGAAGAAACTCAACCAACTGAAAGTAATGTTTGTGAACTGATGTTCATTCTGTAGAAGAATGAATGATCCAAACCTTTATTTCAATAAACCTAGATCTTTTATTCTTTTGCCCATTTCTCTAGATAGGGCTGAAGTGTTGCCTTATTGCAAGGTTTCATAATGACCGCATCAAATACATTGGTTGGAAAATCACACAGAACATCTGCTGTCAGAACAATAATCTTGAGCTCATCTTTGTATCTCTGTCTTAATATTGTGGCTGCTTCCAACCCATTCAAGTTGGGCATATTCATATCTGTAATGACAAGCTTGTGCTTCATAAAATCTACCTTTTCCACAAGTTCTTTGCCATCCCTAACTGTATCACAACAATATCCTAAATTTTCCAACAACTTTACCAACACTTTTCTATTGATAGAATTATCCTCTGCCAGAATTATTCTTGCTTTAGGATTTGAGGAGACCTTGTAATCCTTTTCAGAATGCTCAAACAATTTCAGATATGAAGCTTGAATTTGTAATTGTCTATTAATGGAAGAATTGGCCAAATCCTCTTTTGAACCATTCCTAGCTAGAGATTCTTCTACCAATTCTAAAGGTAAAGAAATTGTAAATGTACTTCCAATACCCAGGTCTGACTCGACAGAAATCTTTCCTCCCATTGAACGTACATTGTGCATTACAGTGTTCAATCCTAATCCAGATGATGGCATTGTTGATTCATTGACATTGTGCAATTGAAAGAATGGCTCGAAAATCTTTTGTTGCTTGCTCTTCTCAATTCCAACACCATGATCCACAACTTTGAAAACAAAATTCTGTTCCTTAATTCCATTGATCAAGCGTGGCTCACCTTCGCAGGTGCAAATAAATTCTACAACTCCATCCTTGTGGGAGGCCTTCACTGCATTGGTTAATAAGTTACTAATCACTTGTTGAATTCTCGATTGGTTAGCTCGCACGCAAGCGTTCTTTGAAACCTCATCAATTATTAATTTACAAGACACATTAAATTGTGTACAATAACTTCTAATGATATTTTCTAATAGTTTCATGCATTTTCCAAGATTGAATACTTGAATGTACTTGTCAATGGCTCCTTTCTTTCCCACAGTCTTTTCATGTTCAAGTGTAGCCAAGAGTAAAATATCCTCAATAAGAGTGAGTAAAATTCCATCAGCTGAAGCAATAGTATCAACAAGCTCTGTTTGTTGTTGTGTCAAATTGGTTTCTCTTAAAAGTTCCACACTTCCAAGTGAGCTCAAGCATGGAGATCTGAATTCATGACTTATATGTCTATATTTCAAAGTAAATAGTAATTTAGAATGATTAAAGACCTACCTTAAAAATGTTTGTTTTGTCAAGAGAGCTGATTGAAGTTTGCTACCTGTATGTTCCAGTGAAGTGACCTTATTCTTCAAGTGCATTGAGATGGTTGTAATATAGAAACTAAACATTACAACACACATCATGGTACTAATATTCTCTGAAAAGAAAAATCCAAAATCTTCTGTACTCTGTCCAATCAATAATAGAAGAAATCTATACCCAAGATTTCCTATGAAATGCATTGAAATATAATAGGTTGGAAATAGAGTCCAAATCATATCCTCTCGTTTAAGATTATTGTTACTCGTAATAATCATGAAATAAATTGGCATGAGCATCATTCTCATTGATCTTAAATAGTAAAATCGTAGAGAAAATAATATTAAATTACAAATCATTCTTCCCTTATCATCTTCAGCATTTCCTGCTTTATCGGATCCAACTTTGACAGCTGCCCATATCGAGTTGAGTGCAAAACGAGTATTCACCAGAAATCCAACAATAAAAGAAATCGCAAGCACTACGGTAGAGTAGAAATCTTGATAATAGAATGAATAGAATAAAATCGTATGATATTGAATGAATAAGGTTATTGAAACCATCTTTGGATGTAAAATTCCCTTGATTAATAGATATTCAAATGAAAACCTAGAAGGATATGTGTTTAAATCTTCTCCAGTGGATAGTGTAAAGCTATCTGACTTTCTCAAACTCGAATTTTCTGACTCATCTTCTTTAGAGGAATCATCCTCATCATCTCCTAATATTATTGTCTTGTGTAGTTGTTGTTGTTGTTGTTGAGTATTTCCCTCATTACTATTCAATTCCTTCTTCATCATCGACAATGAATCACCAGCAATACTGTTATTTGTGGCCAATGATGAGGGTATTATTTCAGATGCAGCCAAATCCTTTTTTTCAGCGTCCATTATTTCAACACCTTTCAAATCATCTCCCATTATTTTTCCATTCTCCTCTCCTCCTCTAATAACAACAATGGAATCTCTTTTATCATCATCATCAACAACCTCCTTACAATTCTCTCCAACCAGCAGCAACGAACGTTGTTTTCCCTCCATTTTTTTTTCTAAGGTTTTTTATGTAGCTTGTCGGCAAACTGACCACACTCGCTTGAATTTCGACCACACGCAACTCGAATACTCGCTCTAAGAAGCTGGAGATTATTCGGGTGGAAAGTCATGGATACCTAAAAAGGCCCCTGATTAAGTTATTAAGGAAGGTTCTTAAAACAATTAAGTAAATAGCACTTCCTGAATTGGGATGGAAGTAAGGTTATTAAGGAAGGTATAGTTTTTTAATTGATATCTACTCAAATCTGTACATTCAACGTTAGGTTAGATATAATTTCAACATTATTCATGAACTGTATCTTGAGTTTAAAGACCAAATACAACATTTCATCACCACATCACAACTTTATCATGGACATTCAATTTGAATACCACAACAGAATATGTTTTATTTTAGAATTTGAAATTTCTAAACACATGCTTAAGAAGGCTTTTTTAAGTCCTTCTAAAGTGAATATAGCCTGTTTCACTACCGAGGATGCTTCTCTTAACCTATCATTTGGATAGTGTCTCAAAGCAATATATTGACGAGGATGGTTAGCATCTTTTTGAGTGAAAATGCTAATTATTTCAACAACATTGCTCATCTGTTCATTCTTTTGATAATCGAAAATACGACTATGAATTAGAAATGATCTTGTCATGTTAATCTCGGCAATTTTCTTAATACCGAAATTACCTAAGTAGTCAAAAGATATATACCTGTTTGCATTGTTTTCAATATCTTTTAGATTAATTTGTTTCATGACAACCTTGCCATTTTGTTCTATATTGATCTCGAGATTTTTTTGGTTTTCCAAGTCTTGGAATTTCTTATTTAAACGATCGTAATCACCTAATAATTGATTCTGTTCATTGGCCAAGCGTTGATAAGAACCTGCTAATTGCTTCTTATCACCCAGTAATTGTTCCTTTTCATTGGCCAAGAGTTGATTAGAACCTTTTAATTTGTTGTTCTTGCGTGTTATAGTAAACCAAACAATACCAATCAATACTATTACAATCACTAGCAAGCAACCACCAACAGCAACACCCAAAATTATTGAGTTGCTATATTTGTGTTGGCAATTGTCTCCCCAATAATCCTTATGACAATGACACTCGTCAAGATTTATACAACTTCCATTTCCACTGCAAACCATTGTATCATATGACCAAATTCCATGACAGAGAGCATACTCACAATTATCTCCTTGATAGGCTAGAGCTCCATTCACAGTATAACACTCACAATTGTCTACTTCTACACATGATCCTCTTCCTGAGCATACATGTGAATGATTATTAGATAGTGTTCCATGGCAAAGTGTAAATTGACATCTTTTCTCTTCATCTTCACTACTGGCATAACCTTTAAAACATGCACATTCATCAGGACCAATGCATTTTCCATGACCTGTACAACCTCCAAAATCTGAGGAATCCTCAAAACAAATTGGAGTTTCACAATAGTCAATTTGGCTCCATCCATCAGTGCAGTTACATAAACCATTGTCTAAACATGAACCGTGACCATTACAGACCATTGGATGCTCAGAAGAATATTGTCCACAAATGGGAACACATCTTCTCTTATCGATTGAAAGTGCTTTTCCTTCATTGCAATAAATCTCATATTCTGCAATAAAAGACTGGGTTTTCCCTTCACTGGTGGAATAAATAAACCTATTTCCATCTGGATGAACATCTAAATCGCTAAACCTTGTATCGACATCAGACACCTGCAAAGTGGTAAAGGAACCATCAACTTCTAATCTATGTATTGCAGAGTATTGGTATCTAATTCTTGGATCCTGGGCTTTGATCAATGAAGAATCATTGTGAAAGTAATTGTCAATTATATAAACAGTACCATAATTAGTAAACACTATATCAGACACAAAGTAGAGAGAAGAATTAAAAGCCATCTTATTGTGTCCAAATTCACTAACCTCTAATTGTCTTTTTGATGTTCCCATAATGTTTGTCCAAGTGCCGTTTTCGTGATATTGCTTCAAATAGGAAGATCCGTTTTGTAGCATGGCCACATAAACTGTTGAACCATCAGGAGATACCCCAAATGTTGTGATTTCAAAGTTTGTTGCTTTTGGATCAATAAAGATGGAAATGATTTCATTCTTAACCACAAGAATTCCTCTTGCTTCTTGAATGAAGAGCTGATTGGCAGCAAAAACTGTGCTGACTGGATTGTCCAAGCTTACACTAGTTGCAGGCAATCCATCTACAAGTGTACCAGTACCAAACTTTCCAGTTCCTACCACAGTATCAATGTACTGATTCGAAACCTTTCGAATACAGTCATTGCGCGAATCAGTCAAGTAGCGATCCCCTGTAACTTGATCAATAGAATTGTGTAGTGGTCTATTCATCAATGCCTTGATGGCCAAATCACCATCTCCAGCATAACCAGGTTTTCTACACACTGTACCATTCACTCCATCAAAACCTTCACCACCTCCTGCTGTCAAAACTACATACTTATCCTTCATCAATAGTACATAAGTTTTGTGGTCGAGTTCAGTAGTGAAATGAACATGATCACCCGCTCCTTGATATTTAAATGAACCCATTCTACATGCATTGAAGTCTTCCAAAGTACTTGTTACTTGTTCTTGACATGAACATTGAGTAATTACTTTTAGAAAAGTTCTCCTGAGCTTGCTATTATCAGAGGCAATTGAAGGTTGAGAAAAAAACAACAACAATACGAGCAGAAATAAAAGGAAAACAACTTTCATTTCCAAGCTTTTGATGAATAGTATTTTTTTTCTGAAATGGTTGGTGTGAAAATTGTTGAGTTTGGAGTAATAAAAAGTTACAATATGTCAAAAGTCTTTATCACGTTTCAAAATTGAATGAAAAAGGTAAGTATTCGGAATAAAACTGTAGTTGAATTTACAGTTTTTGTAAACATTTTACAGCTCGTCTCTTGTATAATAACGATCTGAGCCCTTTCGTTGCATCAGTGAATAAATGTAACAAAACTGTTTCAAAAAGTTCAACAACATCAAAAAAAATGTCATCCTTCTTGAAAAAGTTGAGAGGTGGATCAAAGGAAGATAAGAATACAATTTCTTTAGAATCATCACCATCACCAAATACTAAAACAGCAACTATATCCCCAACAACCAACTCGGATCCTATAAGAGTTTTGGTAAAATTACAAAATTTATCAAATAATTCACAAGAATGTCAATATATTAGATTAAATCCTTCCGATACATTATCTAAAACAGAGCTTTTCAAGATTATTCAATCTAAATTCCAAGATTCGAATCTGGAAGAAAGTTTGTGTAAACTTTCGTATTTTGATGTAAAATTAAAAACGGAAGTATCCATCTTTGATAGTGAAGGAGTTGAAGATTTCATGTTATTTTCCAAGACGGCAGCTCCAGAGGACAAATCAATCAATGTAAAATATCAACCAAACAAATCAAATTCATCATCTTCAGATTTCCCTTCAATGTCATTCGAAATGTCAAATAGCATTGCTTCTTTCAAATCAATGAGTGGAGGAGAATCATCATCACCTGGTAGTACTGGTAATAATTCCAATAAGGCCACCAATAATTCAGTTATTAGAAATGAAACATTCTCTCAAGAAACAGTAGAAGCCATCTTGGAAAAGAGATATTCTGAAATTATTCGATTGGATGCTGGTGCTTTTGGAGCTGTCTATAAAGTGGTCGATAGAAAGAATGGAAAGGAAAAGGCCTTGAAGATCATGATCATTGAGAATGTTTCGGATATTAATAATGCACTCCAAGAAGCCATGAAAATGACCAAATTGACTCATGAACACATTGTTTCTACATTGGATGTCTTTTTGCCAGGAGTCATGTCCAAGATTTGTATTGAAATGGAGCTCATGTCAAAGGGAAGTCTTTACTCATCGGTTGTGAAACCAAAATTGGAATTGAATGAAAATATGATGAAAGAAGTGGCCAGACAAGTTTGTAGTGCTTTAGACATGATGCAGAAAACAGATGGAACTATTCATAGGTAGGTAATTTCAAAATGTTTCAAATCTTTGATTTAATTGAATTATAGAGATATCAAACCACATAATATTCTGGTTAGAAATTTGGATCCTGAACATGAAATTATTACTGTTGCTTTGGGAGATTTTGGATTGGCTAAATCTTTGGAAAATTTCACTCAATCAGTTGCTATTGCGGGTACAATGAATTATTTAGCTCCAGAATTGGTCGAATATTCTGTGAGTAATATGGGATCCAATCCATTTTCATTTGCATCTGATATGTTTGCTTTGGGTGTTTCCATGTATCAACTTGCTACTTTTGATATGGTCACATCATTGGCAACACTTGTCACAAGTCAAGATGAAGAAGATTTCAAGAAATTTATATCCAAAAAGATTTTGGAAAGAGGAAATTTCTCTACAGATTTTATTGACCTTGTCTATTCCATGTTGAGAAGAAATCCAAAGGACAGAATTTCGGCTGAAATGGTTGTTGCTTGTTTGAGTTTGAAAGATTTAGATTTGAACTTGGATAGTTTGGATTTGAATTTGGACGGTTTGGATTTGAACTTGGATGATTTGGATTTTGCCTTGGATGATCCCAATGCTACTACTGAAGAATCCAAAGATCAAAATGCATTGATATTTTTGGAGGAAGTCGACAAAATAGAGTCAACTGGAAATTATGATGAATATTTGGATTTTAAAAATCCTCTCGGTATGGTTTTACAAAAGAAGCACAACAGATTGATAATTAGTAACTTTTTAAATTCAAATTTATTATCTTTGGATTTGACAAGTAGAAAGATTGAAGTTCACACCAATCTAGGAGATATGCCAGACAAGATGTGTTATTCCAGCATTGATGATAGCTTTGTAATTTCATTCATGGGAAAGGTTTCTAAATTCTCCTCTTCCAAGAATGGAAAAGAAATTTGGTCATATCCAATCAGAAGAGCCAAAGGTGTTACTTGCCAAGACTCAGATGGTACAATATTTGTAGGTGATGCTATTAATGGCGATATTCTTGTACTTTCCAAGGATGGAAAATTATCAAGAACCATCACTGGTATTGGAATTACCTTCCCAACGGACATGTGCCTCAGTGCAGATCAATCTCACTTGATTGTCTGTGAAAAGGAAAAAAATCAACTCTTATTTGTTTCTAAAGAAGGGAAAATTATTAAGAATGTTCCGTGTGGAGTGGAAATTCAATTTGATAAGCCGTACGTGGTGAATGTGGACGCAAAGAATAATTTTATTTTTGAGGCAGAATACGATTCCAATTATTTGAGAATTTATAATGGAAAGACATGTGAATATGTGACAATATTGTATGTTGAAGGAACAGTTTGTGGATGTTTGGCAATTGATTCACAGGAAAGAAAAGTTTATGGTTTCTATGGTTCTGTCTTGAAGATTTTCAATTACTGAAATAAAAATATAAAATTTCATGCTGACGGACGGGATCGAACCGGCGACCAATGGCTTATTAGACCAACGCTCTACCGACTGAGCTACGCCAGCTTACATTCATTATGAAATCCCTTTAGATGTTGAGCAGTCGTTTCTTAAATTGTTGCTCTTCTTTCAATAAACGCAGCTTTAATTCAATAGTACTCCATTCAATAAAATTCAGATTTAACCAATGGCTCGAACCCTTAAACTTTGATAAAAGATAGTTATGATATTCTCATTGTAAACTTTGATTCAATGGGTGAATGGCTAAATCTCATAAAAAAATGCACGAACTCTTTTTCATCTCTTTCCTTCTTTTGATCTCAACCAGCCTTGCACACACATCCATACAACAACAACAACACCAAGAATTACCCCTCTCTCAAGGTTGGTGTCTCCAAAACAACAATCAAACCATCAGAGAATGTAATTTTCAAATTCCAGCAACAGTCCACACCATTCTCTATAATCGGAGTGTAATTCCTGATCCGTATTATCGATTTAATGATGTACTGTTGAGATGGGTGGCTTTGGAGGGGTGGATATTTACAAATCAATTTGATTTGGGAAGTGGCATGAAAATGAACGAAATGAAACGAATTTATTTACAATTTGATGGATTGGATACTGTTTGTGATATTGAATTGAATGGACAGTGGATTGGAGGTAGTGAGAATATGTTTCACAAGATTGAGATTGATGTAACTGATTTGATAAGAGAAAAATCCAATTTGTTGGTTGTGAAATTTCAATCTGCTATTGAATATTCGAAACGGAAAGCAAAGGAAAGTCTGTATCCAATTCCAACAAGTGATAATGAGCAAGTTCAGCATGGTGAGTTGAATAGAAACTTTATAAGAAAGACACAATCTTCGTTTTCATGGGATTGGGGTCCTTGTTTTGCTCCAATGTAAGTTTCGAATATTTCCTCACTAATTTATAAAAAATCAATAGAGGAATTTGGAAACAAGTCAAGTTGATAACAGTTTATAATTCTCTAACATTGAAAGATTTGAGAATTGAAACATTTCCAGTATCTAATATTATTCCAAAAAGAAACGGAGCAGAAATTATTCCAACACTTTCGAATACGTTCAAAATCAATTCCACTTTCATCATTCAAGTAGTATCAGAGATTAATTTACCAAAACAAATCAAAATTTCAGTGAACATTGAAGATTCCTCATCAAATTCCATTTGCTCCAATTCTCAAATCGTAAACATCAATCAATGTGAAATTTCGAATGGATTTTTACAATTCGAATTAACAACTCCCTGCCAAAATGTTCAATTATGGTATCCAGTTGGCTATGGGTCTCAACCTCTCTATCAAGTGAAAGCCTCACTCACCAGTCAATCATTCCACGACACTTTACAAAAACGAATTGCTTTCAGACAAGTGAAAATAATTCAAAAGCCAATCCAAGAAACTGATCCAATCAACAATCCAAGCAAATCATTCTATTTTGAAATTAATGGAATTCCAGTATTTGCCAAAGGTTCCAATTACATTCCTCCAGATTCATTTGTTGAAAGAGTGAGCGACCAAGATTTGAGAAATTTACTCGATTCCTTCATAGAATCCAATCAAAATACTTTGAGGATTTGGGGAGGTGGAAATTTTGAAAGAGATTCCTTCTATGATTTTTGTGATGAGAAGGGAATATTGGTTTGGCAAGAATTCATGTTTGCATGTGCTACCTATCCAAGAACTGAACTATTCCTACAAAGTATTTCAAAGGAAATTCAACAACAAGCAACTCGATTGATGCACCATCCATCAATTATCATGTGGAGTGGAAGTAATGAGAATGAGGCCTCTCTGTGGGGAGATACTTGGTACTCGCCAGTGATTAATTCAAACACAAACAAGATGAGATACATTGTCGATTATGGAACATTATATTTCGAGACGGTGAGGAGAAATCTTCTTCAAGTGGATAGTTCAAGACCATTCTGGCCATCAAGCCCTTCAAAGGGAGTAATTTCTGAAGAGCCATACGTTGGATATTGGCTTAATCCTTACTCTACCTCATTGGGAGATGTTCACTATTATGATTACAGTACAGTTTGTACCAACGTGGATAATTTCCCAAGAGCCAGATTCATGTCTGAGTATGGACATCAATCGTTTGCCTCATTACAAACTTTCAAATCTGTGAGTATGGCCCAGGATTGGTTCTATAATTCCACACTAATGAATCATAGACAACACCATCCAGACGGTACCAATCAAATACTCTTCCAAATAGGAAATCATTTCAAATTTGATAATTTATATGGAAATTTTGAAAATTTCATTTACTTGTCTCAATGCTCGCAAGCTCTCTGCATGAAAGCTCAAACTGAATATTACAGATCTCTAAGGGATGATCCAAATGTTCAAACATATGGAGCCCTATATTGGCAATTGAATTCGATTTGGCAAACTGTGGACTGGGCGTCTTTGGAATATGGATTAAAATGGAAGATGATGCATTACTTTGTTAAGGATTTCTTCTCAGAGAGTCTTGTGTTATCCTACGAACAGGGAGGATGGTTTAAGATTTTTGTCACCACTGATCGAATGAAACAATTGACAGCATCAGTCACTGTGAAAATAATTCAATATTCGAATGGTGAAATCAAAAAGACTTTGAATTTCCCAAACCTTTCCATTCAACCACTCTCTGGACAAATGATTTTTGCAAAGGAAAGTGAAATGCTCATCCTAGAAAGTTTGTGCTTCCTTTCGAATCGTTGCTTTGTCCACATGTCCTTGACCGACTATTCTACTAATGAGATTATCTCTGAAAATGTTCACTTCCTCTCACCATTGGCACTTGTCACTGATTTGCCAAAAACAAACTTTAAAATTATCAATGCAAAATTATTGGAGGATGGAACAGTGGTTCAATTTGATTTGATTTCAGATCAAGTTGCCTTTTATGTTTGGTTAGAAAATGATGGAAATTCAGGAAGATTTGACAGGAATGGACTAATGATGTTGAAAGAAAGATCAGAAACTATTCGCTTCTCCACTTTAAATCATCAATTAAGAATTCAAAATTTGGATCAATTCATTTCCAATATAAGAATTAAATCCATTCGTGATGTTTACCATTAACTTATTCCTTGCTTTACTAAATATTTCCTTAATTTCCAAAACCTTCAAAAATATTAACAACATCCATTTCCATTACCACTTTGATTCTTCATCCACAAATTGCTTCAGCTGTTCACTCATATTCTGTTTCAAGAAGAGAGTCTGTTCGGAATTCAAAGAAACTCCCAATTTCTGCAAAGCACTCAACAATTCACTCTTCTTTTCCCTAAAATCACTCATCGACAAAATAATTTCTGGAGTTTTAAACGCTTGACTACATGCTGCCTGGATAGCCATCTTGAAGGAGCTTAATTGATCGGAGGCTAATTCTTGATGATTTAATTCGTTGAGAGTATTCTGAAACTCTTCTAATTGTTTGAGGGTTTCTCCCTTGATTTCTAAATATTCTTCTTCCGAATCGAGCAGTTCTCGATTATCTTCTACATCTTCTAATTGTTTGAGGAGTCTACCAAGTTGTTGATGAATTTGTTGAATAATTAATTCCTTTCCTGATGTGGACATTTTTTTTGAATTTGAAATTGTATAAAAAGTTATGAAAAATCTTAATAAGATTGAATGTATAATAAATTTGTAAAGACTGATTCTGTTGATTTTCCGATTTGTGAACCTACTAAAAAAATAAAAATTCCAAATTAGGAATTAGTAAAACAAATAGTGAAACTCATTGAAACAAATCCAACTGAAAGATAAAAAAATGTATCTATTAATCTTGATTTCCCTCTTCATAGTTTCCCTTTCTTCCTATTTATATTGGTATTACTACATTTACGACCCGTTTCTTAACACTTTAATCGAAACGTGCAAACATTTAATTCCAAAACTGAAATCCCCTTGTGGTGAAGACGAGAGAACATTCTACTCTGCAAATGAAATGAATAATATACTTCGTAATTCAAGCTTGAAGAGTCAATTTAGAGATGGTAATATTACTAGTAAATCTGAAATAATGTCTTTAAATGTTTTTACCCAACTCCATGTGGTAGTACTAGTTGTGAAGAGAGATGGAAAGAAATATGTTGTGGATCCATTGATTCACAGATTTCTCGATAAGAAATGTCATTGTTATTATGAAATGAAAAATATAAAGCCAAATACTAAAAAGATTGTATATAAAGCTGATAATGGAAGATTGTTTGCATGTGCTGAATTGGAACGTTATGAATATCTTTTAGGTTCTCGTTATACGAGATGTTGACTTTAGTATGATCGAATAAGGTAAAAAATGAGTTCAAAAAAATGGACCTGAAACTTTTGTAAATATTTCGATGAAAACAGATAATTAAACCTTGAATTTTCAAATATTGGTAGACTATATTATATAGTTTACATTCTTTGAAAAAGTTAAAATTGAATCCTAATAGTTAAAAAGTTATACTCGAGTGCCGGGAATTGAACCCGGGTCGCCAGAGTGACAGTCTGGAATGCTACCACTATACCACACCCGATTACATCATTGATACTAAGAATATCATTTTGTGTTCATCCTTACGCAATTAAGCCTTCAATCAACTAAAATTAAACCAGTCAAATAAAACTTTAAAAAAAAAATGAAAAAATTCACCAGAGAGAAGAATTACTTTACCGTTCGTACGGCAAAGAAGAGTAAGTTGAAGCAGTCATTAAATCACCATCACTCACACATTAAATTTCCAAAAATCATATTCTTTTTTTTATTATTATTCATGAACATTATTACATTCGGAATGTTTGATTCGGAAATGAAACTCTATCGGAATAGTTATTCATAATGTACCAAAAGGAACTAATTTAATGGATGTATTGGTAAAGAATAATGTTAATTTTGCATACCCTCTCAAAGTCTTAGTCTTTCCATTTCTTGCATTAGGAATTTTAAAAGCCACTCAACTACCAAAACTCCAATCAACAGTTTTCTGTTGTGGAAGATTGACTGGTGACTTTAAAAAGGTTCCATTGTATACTTGTTCTCAATGCCTTGTGGAAGTTAAATATGCAAATGCACCAAAGAAATTAAACCTAATAGAAAGAGTTACCAAGTCCAATCCATTTTTGGGTATCTTTACTGACAATGAAGTAAGACTGGCTTGTAGAACTCCTGTAGATGATGACATGTATGTGATTACCTATTGTGACGATGCCCCAAGTAAAAAGTATATTTTATTTATTATTGGCCTAGTAGCGGTCTATATTGGATATTATTTAGTACTATACATGTATGCTTCCACAATAGGGACTGAGAATAATCAAGTGGAATTATCGGATGAAGCTAAAGAATTATTGAAACATTTATCAGAGAAGGATTTGGAAGAATGGGTTAAATCAAAATCTGAAGTAAAGACAGGTAGTATGAAGGCAGCTGAGGATGAAATTGTTACAATCAAGATTACTGACATTTCTAAAACTGAAAAGTGAGAAAAATAAGAAGATTGTTTTCTCCACTCACTAGGTTACCATTGTAAATATGCTACATTTGAATAAATTTGGTTTATTAATATTGGGCCAGATGAATCAGTGTATCAAGTCGTGGTTACAATTAGGTTGTAACTTGTCAACTTTTGATTCATGACAAGATCTATTGTAACTGTTAAAAATCTCAGATTTGATTCTGAGCTAAGAACAGATATTTGAAAATAGGTTGAACGAAACACATTCAATTTCCAACGAAATAAAACAAATAAAACTAAAAACCAAGTACAAACCTAATATACAAGAAATTGCTTTAACTCAATTAGTATTCATTCCTTAGAAACTAAATAACCCAAAAATACATCACATAGCCAGTAATTTTCCCTCCGCGCCAAACAACTCAAGTCAATCCTATCAGTCACCTATCATCTACAAATTTCATCCGTAAAAAAAAATGATTATCACCTCGCTGCCACATCACATCTCATCCAACGGCAGTCAGAGCATCACAATGAGAAGCAACAAGTTTTTCATCTTGACCTTCCTCACCATTGCTCTCTTCCTGATGGTCGTGCTTCTCTCTACAACAGCAACAATAAATTTTGTGGAGGCAAAAAAGGAAAATATTCGTGTGGTCCACAAGAAACGAACCATCCGCTCTCAAAAACGCATGAAAAAGACCCTCATTAAATTATTGAAGAAATTCTCATCATCAGGTTCATCATCCAAATATTTGGCAACGGAGGAGAGCAAATCCTTGCACATGCACTTGACTCGTGTTGAGGAACGTTTGAGAAAGACTTTGGCGCGCTTGGAAAAACGCTACAAAAAATTGAACAGACGTGTTAAGGAGACTCATAAGAAGGTTGTTGAGAAGAAGAAGGCTTACAAGAAGGCACAAAGAATTTATAAAAAGTATGTGGCCCGATATGAGAAGAGATCATCCACAACAACAACAGAACAACAAACAACCTATGAGACTGCTACAGCCAAGTTGAAGGAATATCAAGCTATTTTGGAGAAGGAAGTTGGTAATTTGAGAAAGTTTAGAAAGGCTTGGATTTCTGCTAGAAAGTTGAGAAGACAACACAATAATACCATCAGAAGACAATTAGATATGATTGATTCACTCAGAGGTATGATGGGTAAGCCAGAAGAAGCAGAACAAGCTACATCTTCTGCTACTGCTGCCAAGAATTAACATCTTCATCAGAAGCTGAACTATTTTGCCAACAATTAACAACAAGATGTTGATGTGTGTTAATTGCTTTGCTTTACTATGTACTACTATTATTATTGTTATTTGTTAACAACTTGTGTTAATGTGTATCAACAATATCAATAACAACCGTTTCATCTTGTGTTGGAAACAATGAAGGATTGTCTTTCTTAGAGAGGAAACAATAAATTGTGCTCCTGCCTGCTCAGGACAACAACAATCTCATGAACGTGAACCTAACCGAACAACCTCTTCGAATAGCTATACACTTTCACATTCAACTGCAAAAATAACAATTCACACTCGTTATCACGATTCATACGTCAAACTAACAGCTTACCTAAACAATTCATCAACAAAAAAATCGTCCAACTGTCAAACTTCCATCACACACACTATTAGAAATGGGTGGCAAACCTTCATCTTTTGACTCCAAGCCTGCATCATTTGAATCCTCTACTGTGGATATTAGCCAAGTAGTAAACAAACCAATCACTGAATGTGATGCTGAAGATTTGCTCGTCCTTCTGAGACACTATAAATTCGAGGATAAGAGCAATAAATTGGCCAGTGTCATCAAGGAAAAAGACATGTCTGGAAGTATATTCTCTGCACTTGTTGCACCAATACTGGAGGAGAATCAATCAAAAATTGAAGACGAAAGGGACCGATTGGCTAGCAGATATGCCACTCGTTATGCCATCACGGAAAGTTTGCTATCACGTTTTATTGAGAATGTGGTTATTACAAAGATTAAAAGGGATGTGTCGAATGCATCAAGTAAGAAAATTAATATTTCATCCATTCCAACAACAACAGCAAGTTTGCATTCAGAGACTCAGGATCCAGGTGTCACTCCTCAAACTTTTTATAACATTTCAACTGCATACGATCAAGATAAATTGAACGAGTGGGAGAAGAGAGGAATTGAAAAGGTCAAGAAGAATTTGGTAAAATATTATGAATTTTTGAAGGAGAAGAAGAAGAAATTCGAAACTTGTGGATTGATAGGTGACTTGGAAGTGGATGCTCAAAATATGGTCTGCAAAGATCGTTTCATGTTCAACACATTCTGTGCTCCAATTTTGAGTAATTCAAGCAGGAGAGTTTTGACTTCTGAGCCATATATGCAAGTTAAGTTGATCATTTCAGAAATTGAGGGAAATGAAATTTATAGATCCATTGTCTCAAAAGTAGTGAATACAGAATTTGGCCTCCTCCACACTGGATTATTGATTGGTGAGTGGAAATTCGATTGGTACGACAATTCAATGGTCAGTGTTAGAAAGGAAAAGAATATTGGCTCTGGAAATGCAATTGCTGTTATTGATTTGGGATCTCTGATTGATCAAAATTTAATTTTGAGTGCATTCTTCAAAATTTCAGACATTGTTTGTAAATACAATGCCACTATGGAGTACGGTCAATTGAATTGTAATTGCCAACACTTTGTTTCGGAACTTTTGGATGCACTTTCTCTTGTCACTCCAAAATCCAAGTGCTTTGAAAAGTATTTTAAAAATTTAAAGAAGGGAGATATGGCAAGAAAATTCTACTTTAGCCCAGCTTTAATTGACAAGATTCAAAAAGCTCAAGATTCAATTTACAAGAAAAAGAAGTCAATCAAATTCGAAAGTAGAAAAGATCTTGATGAATTCTGTTTCTTTATCAAGGATTTAGGTCATTTTACAACAGAAGAAGGAAAGGAAGATTATCAATTGCTTAAATCATTTGATAGATCGTTTGTAATTGCTGGTAAGGGAAGAGATGGATTGGTCGTGGTTGACTATTCTGTGGAAGGATTCAAGAAGGAGAATGCATTCTTTTCTCAATCTGGTCTTCATGATGATACCAGTATTACCAATATCAAGTACAATGTAAAGGATTTGGACTTGTCAAAATATTTCCTCAAAAGATAGACATCAATAAAGATGAAAAACTGCCAAAATATTATTCATGTTCAATCTGTCATTCCCCTTTGATATTAATAAGTTTGACTGTCACCATTTAAACTCTGTATTTCAATGCATCAGTATGATCTCAATTTCTTCAAATTAATATTCACAATCTTCCACACTCACCATTCGCTGTTCTTTTCTTCATCTTTTTCCATTTTACAATGATCATACTTACGAAGAACATATTTAAAGATAATAAATGTGAAGCAGGGGTTCCCGAGTGGTCAAAGGGGGTAGACTCAAGTTCTACTGCGCAAGCTTCGTGGGTTCAAATCCCACCTTCTGCAACTTTTTATTTTAGTATATTTCCTGCTACCATTTTGTCTTTACTATAAGGAGGTGTAAAATCAATCTCTTATCTTCTATATTTATTCTTAAAATAGCCTCAGATTAATTTTGTTTGGTTTTTGAATTGAAATTAACAAGCCAAAATTATTGCTTCTGTAAATCTTCCAAAATTTGTTCAAAGTAGAGGATATCTAGAAATTGCACAAGAGTAATTTTATGATTTTCAATCCTGCATTCACATTTCATTTCTGTCAAACAACAAACTACAGCTTTGAATCACGTTTCAAAGAACGTGAACATCGATACTTTTTTGTCAAGATAATATTCTTTCATTAAAACTCATAAAAAACCAACACGTGTTTACTTCCTCTTCTAATTAGATCAAATCAATAAGAAAAAACACAAAAAATCACAAACTCTGCACCAACCGATTCATTGTTCCTAACAAGAGAGCACAAACAACATTATAATATTATAATTATTATTATTTATTTAAATATATTTAAAACAAGCATCGGAGATGGGCAATTACTTTTCTCAAGATTCCCTCGAATCATTCAATGTAGGAAAGGGTTCCGATTCTGCAAATTCTGTACCAACCCGAGCAATTACTGATAAGCCAATTAATAATTGTGATAATAATGATTTGATAAATCTGATGAGAGAATTTAAATATCAAAATTCCTTGATTGAGAAGTTATTGATCAATAATACAATGTTTCATGGTCATGTTTTTAAGGATTTGGCCAAGGCTATTGTTACCGGAGATCGTTCAACAATTGATGATGAAAAACAATATATTATTGCAAGGCTTTCTAAATTATATGATGTTGATCAGGGAAGTATGAGTTCGTTTGTGGATTCAGTGGTTGAGGCCAAGATTAGAAAGGATATTGAGAATGGCTCTGGTAGGAAGAATACTTTTGCTGCAATGGAACAGAGATATAATCCAGCTTATCAATTTGATTCTGTTCCAACGACTGGAACTCAGAGTGATATTGGCACTAATTCAAATAATGTACATTTACCATCGGATGATAGTGATTTTGATTCGAGAACTCCATTTGATGAGGAAAAACTTAATGATTGGGAGAAACAAGGAATTGAACATTGTAAAAAGAATCTCTCTGAATATTACAAGACTCTCAATGAGAGAGGAAAATCATTCAAGAGTGCTAATCTTACTGGTGATTTGGATTTGGATGCCCAAAATTTAACATGCAAGGATAGATTCTTGTACAATACATTTTGCAGTAGAATTTTGGCAAATCCAAATAGAAGAAAGATGGAAAAGCCTCCTTATGTTGCTGTTAAATTGGTCATTTCAGAATTGCAAGGAAATAATTTTATTAGAAGCGTATTGTCCAAGATTGTTACTACTGAATTTGGTATTCTCCATACAGGAATCATGATTGGAGAGTGGAAATTTGATTGGTACAATAACTCTCTGATTAGTGTTAGAACTGATAAGAATATTGAATCATCCAATTCAATTGCTGTTATTGATCTTGGTTTTTTGAGAACCAAGAATCAAATTATGGATGCCTTCTTGAAAATTACAGATATTTGTTGTACATTTAATGCTAAAAAGACATATAGCCAACTCGATTGTAATTGTCAACACTTTGTCTCTCAAGTTTTGGATGCTCTCTCATTGAGTAGACCAAGTGGAAAGACCTTTGACAATTACTTTTCCGATTTAAAGAAGGGTAACACGAGTAGAAAATTCTACTATACTGAAACTTTAAAGGCATTCATTCAAAATTTGGATTACGAGAATGAATTTACCAAATTGGATACAATGATATTTGAGAATAGAAAAACATTGGATGAATTTTGTCACTGGTTGAATTCGATAGGATATTTTGAAACTGATGCAGGTGAAGGAGATTATAAATTATTGAAAGCATTCGACAGATCATTCTGTATTGCAGGAGATGCTGAGGGAAGCACCATTGTGGACTATTCATCTTATTCTGGAGTAAAGGATAATTCATTCTTTTCAAAGAATGGTGATAGATATGAAACAACCATCCATAAGATTGAATATAACGTTCAAGATTTGGACTTTACACCTCACATACCAAATAGATAAATTAATTTTCTAACTTTATTTTCAATTTCGGAAATCATATTAACGATACTGCTTAATTGATAGTTGAGCTGTTAAGTAATACTAAGCATAGAACTATTCCTTAATAAATTAAGCCAACTTGTTTCAATTTTTCTCTGAATCTGATGATATTTATTAAAAATACATTGTGTGATATCGACAGTAATGCAAATTGTACAAATTGATTATGATAATTGCAAATGAGATTCAACAAATTTGTTCAACAAAATTCTTCAAAAAAAAATGTCATCAAACAGCTTTACAATACATCAATTACAACCACTTAATCCAAACCATGAAAATATTCACTCAACCCAAAACAAATTACATGAAAATCTACTTGTATTATTAAAGGAACAATTCGAGTCGGAAAATCGAATGGAAGAAGATGCAAATCTTCATTTGGAATCCTTTCTCGACAACATGAAAAATACTGGAATGATTTCCAATACATTTTGGGTCTTAATTGTGGAAAATGATGAGAGAGAAGCGTGTGGATTTATTTGTTTATGTTTTCTTCCAAAATTGAATAAGAAAAATGGTTATCTCTATGTGGACGAATTGTTTGTGAGGGAAAAATTCAGGAGATGTGGAATTGCTAGTATTCTACTGGACGAAACTAAGAAAATTGCAAAGAATTTAAACATGGCAGGTGTTCGTCTATTGGTAAGGAATGAAAATCTGAAAGCTCAAGCTCTCTATCAGAAATCTGGTTTTTCTCTAAGTGAAACTTTGTTTGGTCAATTTATTCCCCCAAAGAATAATCAATAAAATTGTTTCTAACGAATTCGTTAACTTCTTAATGTTGTTATTATTATACCAATTGCTATTGTTCAACGTATTTGTCTATTACCAATTTAGGATAGAGAGGTTATGAAAACTAAATACATTCTAATGAAGTTGTCAAAGTTACCGAACCTGTCATAATACATTGGAATGGGGCTGCCAAACATTAACTTCATTATTCAGCACATTCAGATAAAATTATTCTATTCTTCGGTCAAGAATTTCAGTTTGGCAGGTTTCATAAATTGTTTAGGTGTTTGGCAACGCAAAGTTCCTTTCGTATTACAATAAAAACACTTTGAAAAAAACAAATCAACACATTAAAAGTAAATTCTTCCCAAGAGGTTTTCTTAGAGAATGGATGATGAACTTTCGTCTAGTTTCTCATTAGATTCTAGTGCATGTCTGGAAGACAATAATTTAGACCCTCAAAGTGGGATTCAGAGAAATGAAGTTCACTTTCGACTTCCTTCACCAACACAACAATCCGAAACCATGCAAACTTTCCAGTGTAATCTTGCCGAAACCAATCAACAACCAAAAATAATGAACCAATATCATCTTAAGCAACACCAAGCTGCCGATGGACAGGATCAACAGCATGCAGTCGCAACTAAATCATCCGAAACTTTAAGAAACAGAAGAGTTTCAAT